GGCAAAGACCCACTTTCAGTACATTATGACAATGAATACAGCATAATGAAATAATATGTTATGATTAAGAAGATAAAATCTCATTTCTATAATCCATACATTTACGTATATATAAGAACTAGTCACTTTCAGGACTTTTAAAGAATTGCTAATGCAACATTTCATATTTACCTGATTCTCACTATAACTTGTAGGAAGTATATTTAATAATAGTTTTAAAGTTTATTCTGTAGTTAGAATATTTTTCACAATTCAGTAAAAAGTGATTTTCATCTTCTACCTCATCCGATTTATATATAAAACACAAAAAACAGATGGAAATAACATACTACCACTGAAATCAGATGGCCTACTTCAAGAAGATTCATTTGATAAAGAAAATATATTAAATCAACAGTTCAAAGATGCGTTTTCCAGTTAAGATGAATATACCAGCTCCCAATACAAACAGAGATGCAAAATGACTGGGAACTTTGAAACAGCAACTGACGTATATAAGGGAGCAATTGTTACCATTTAACTTCAAGGGGGGGGTTATGGTTTTTTGTTGGAGTCAGAAAATTTTTTGTGCAAAGCGCGAACATTTTTTTTTAGTTTTTCGCAGACAATTTAACACCTAGAGTACTAAAAAATAAGGCATTACAAGTAGCACCAATTTTAACAATGATCGATACATCTTAGATCATATGAAACTGATATATACCGGTAGTACCAACTTTATGGAAAACAGCAAATGTATGCCCATATGCAGTTTTTAAGAAAGGCAAACGATTTGAAGCTATCAATTATAGATCTGTATCTCTTACCTGCATCTGCTGCAAAATCGAGGAGCATATAGTCACCAGCCACATAATGAATCATGCAGATAACAATAACATCCTCTACAAAATGCAGCATGGGTTTAGAAAACAATTGTCATGCGAGACACAACTTGTGGAGTTCATCGATGACATCACGAGAAACCTTGACAATGGACAACAAACAGACTGCCTTATCATGGATTTCTCGAAGGCATTCGATAAAGTAAGCCAGAGTTTCTTAATCCATAAACTTGATCGTTATGGAATCAAAGGAAAAAAAACACTTGGATAAAAGGCTTTCTTTCTGATAGAACACAGCGCGTTGTCATAGAAGGGGAGAAGTAAGACGTCCTGAGTCCCACAGGGATCAGTACTGGGACCAAGCCTCTTCCTTTTCTACATAAATGACATGCCGGACAACACTTCCAGTGAGGCTATTTGCAGATGACACCATTGCATACCTCACTGTCTCATCAGAAAGCAACAGTCTACAAGAAGACCTTGATCAACAAGCTAGCCATGTTGGAAAAAAAATGGATGATGCAGTTCCATTCCGATAAATGTGTAGTTCTGCCAATCACCAAAAAGAAGGAACCAATACACAATAATTGCATCCTCCATGCCCACAACTTAGAACATGTATCATGCAGCCAAATATCTGGAAGTCACCATAACATCTGATCTAAAGTGGGGTGCTCATATAAACAACATCTGTCAGAAAGCTAATAGGACAATAGGATTCCTTAAACAAAACTTAAACATAGCAAACAGTGAGATCAAGGAAAAGGAATATACAGTTTTAGTAAGGCCGACAGTTGAATATGCCAGTTCAGTATGGGATCCTCACCTACAAAAAGACAAGCATAAACTAGAAATGATACAAAGAAGATCAGCAAATTATGTAACAAACAGGTACCACAACACATCATAGTTGAATCTATGCTACAAAAACTACAATGGCCAACACTAGTGGGGAGAAGAAAGAACGCTAGACTAACCCTTTTATACAAAATTTTGAATGAGGAAGTAAAGATTGATGCTGGCGACAAACTGATACCACCAGACAGATTATAAAGACATACTAACGTTCACTCTTTCCAAATACCATCTTGCAAGACCAGCATTAGGAAAGAGTCCTTCTATCCACGAACGATAAGAGATTGGAACACCTTACCTGTCTCTGTGACCGCTGCAGAATGTCTTGACTCGTTCAAGAGACTATACTGCATGCACATTAGATTTCAAGTTTTTATTTGCATCATGTATAAATGTATGTACAGCACTAATTTTTCATTTCTGTTAAAATTATTTTTGGACTTGTTAATTATGGAAGCGCACACCAAACAGTGACAGGATAGTCAACCTAATGACGGTGGTCACTTAGTGGTAGAAGTAGAAGTAGAAGTAGAAGTATTGGGAAAATATGGACATGAACTTTTACATAAAATTTCAAGAACGGCAGAATCTGGTTCTTACATGGATCTATTTCAAAATCCTTAACGCTAGGTCTATTGAATGTTTTATTTGCTGTAATCAAGGATTTATAACAAACATATCTAATATATGTCCTTGCTGTAATATGTATCAAAAGAACCAGTTAGATCATACTTTGGACTTTACAATATTACTATATAATTATTTCTATGCTCAAAACCTGTATTGTTACAATTAACAGAAACTAGAGGCACTAAAGAGCCTGTGTCGCTCACCTTGGTCTATGTGCATATTAAACAAAGGACACAGATGGATTCATGACAAAATTGTGTTTTGGTGATGGTGATGTGTTTGTAGATCTTTCTTTACTGAATATTCTTGCACCTTACTATTATCTCTATCTATAATGAACTTGGCCCGGTAGTTACAGTGGAAAATATTTTGTAAAAATTTACAAAAATTTACAAAATTTATGAAAATTGTAAAAAATTGACTATAAAGGGCAATAACTCCTTAAGGGGTCAATTGACTATTTTGAAAATGTTGACTTATTTGTAGATCTAATTTTGCTGTACATTATTGCTGTTTACAGTTTATCTCTATCTATAATAATATTCAAGATAATAACCAAAAGCTGCAAAATTTTCTTAAAATTACCAATTCAGGGGCAGCAACCCAACAACGTGTTGCCTGATTGGTCTGAAAATTTCAGGGCAGATAGATCTTGACCTAATGAACAATTTTATTCACATCAGATTTGCTCTAAATGCTTTGGTTTCAGAGATATGAGCCAAAAACTGCATTTTACCCTATGTACTATTTTTTAGCCATGTCGGCCATCTTGGTTCGCGGGCGGGGTCATCGGACACATTTTTAAAACTAGATACCCTAATGATGATTGTGGACAAGTTTGGTTAAATTTGTCTTAGTAGTTTCAGAGGAGAAGATTTTTGTAAAAGATTACAAAAATTTACGAAAAATGATTAAAAATTGACTATAAAGGGCAATAACTCCTTAAGGGGACAACTGACCATTTTGGTCAAGTTGACTTGTTTATAGATCTTACTTTGCTGAACATTATTGCTGTTTACAGTTTATCTCTATCTATAATAATATTCAAGATAATAACCAAAAACGGCAAAATTTCCTTAAAATTACCAATTCAGGGGCAGCAACCCAAAAGCAGGTTGTCCGATTCATCTGAAAATTTCAGGGCAGATAGATCTTGACCTGATAAACAATTTTACCCCATGTCAGATTTGCTCTAAATGCTTTGGTTTCAGAGATATAAGCCAAAATCTACATTTTACCCCTATGTTCTATTTTTAGCCATGGCGGCCATCTTGGTTGGTTGGCCGGGTCACTGGACACATTTTTTTAAACTAGATACCCCAATGATGATTGTGGCCAAGTTTGGTCAAATTTGGCCCAGTAGTTTCAGAGGAGAAGATTTTTGTAAAAGTTAACGACGACGGACGACGATGACGGACGACGACGGACGCCAAGTGATGAGAAAAGCTCACTTGGCCCTTTGGGCCAGGTGAGCTAAAAATCAGTGCATAGTTTAAATCATAGAAGCAACAAAATTTGAAACTTTATAAAATAAAAAAACAAATAATCAATTGTAACATAGATTTTTTTCTATAAATTTATTTGTTTTAATAGTGAATAAACTTGCTTGCTTATTATTGTCCCCAAATTTTTTTCATTTGACGCTAGTTAGTGAGACTGAATTATTCACTTTTCACAATCCCTATTATAAATTTGTTTTGAGGGAAGTATTTGTTGGCACTTTAGTTCTGTATTTGAATCTGATTTATTGTATGTTTTTTTTTTCCTCTGATTTGTTTTAATTACCATGCTGCATGTACAGCACTTTAGAATAATTTTTATTTTTTATTACAATTTTTATTAATTTTCATTATTATTATTATTATTAACTTGTCCACTAGCTGGTATCTTTTTTCTTAATCTAATTAGACGATTACATGATATATTCTTGTGGTTCTCTACTCTTTCTCCTAGGAATGATCTGCACAAAATAAGGCAACTGTTTCTGATGATGTCAAACAGATAGAAAACTTTTCTTGCAGATCATTATAAAAGAACATATCAGTGATAGTCTTCATATAAAGTCAGAAAATGATTCTACCATGCCACAGGGGTTCAAAGGATAAGCTTTTATTGTTAGTAATTTTCCACATTTTATATACTTTCATCCATGTAAAATGCTGAGAAACAAATATATAAATAAGTAAATATGTTATCCACTTCAACTTGAGCTTTTTGCCTCCATAAATGTAATAACTTAATTCTTTTGGAATCCCTCTTCGAAATAAATTTGGGAAGAGGATCAACATAACCAGTCCAACACTCCTTAAATCCAAATTAATATCATGCAGCATGAAATTACAAGTCCAATAGTCTTAATTAGGTCAAATATAGGTTGATACGCCTAAAACTCAAACAATACAGTAACTATTCATCATACAATTATATACCAAATATTAGACAACAGAGGGAAAACTGTCATTTAATATAAAGCTTTACAGCCTATTTAAAAAGTGAAATACATGAACTTAAATGGACCTCTATGTAAAACATGTATATTTTAATGGGCCTTGTGATTTTAGAGTTGGTTATATTTAAAAATGTTTAAGAATGAATGACCGTTGTCAAGCGATGAGAAAAGCTTACCTGCTTTAGATATAAGAGGAATTCTCTTCAAAGATTTAAGTGATAATTTCTGGCAGCAAAACAGAACGATTATAAACTGTCTGATAAATTTAATAAAGATAGGCAGAAATCTAAGAGTAAAATATAGAACTGTGTAAAATATCAAATAATATTGTACAACCTAAAGTTGTGCAGAACACATATAAAGTGACTATTTACAGAAAATATATAGTTATAGATAATATTATTTTATGGAATGTATAACATCTAAAATTGCAGATTTACATTTAAGCATTCAATGTAATAAACATTTCCAAATATCATATATATATGCAACTTTCAATTGTCACTAAACAAATAAAATGTCTCTTGGAGTAATTAATCATTTTATTATATTATACATACTGTAAACCATATTAAAAATAATAACATGTAAAAGTTAGGACGCAAAATCTTCATATCACAGAAGAATTATAAAGTGCGATATTTTTTTAAAGTAAGTTACTTTTTAAAGTTGATGTGATAGATACTAAAACAAGGACATGAGTACTTATTGTTATCATTATGATACTGAATTTATATCGGTCTGTATCTGTTCTAAAGTTTACTATTTTTGTAAATCTTTTAACAGATAATTCCTTTCTGATCTGATATTTCAGCAATAACCATAAATAACAAATGTTTTGTTTGAATGTAATGTTTTCTAATCTTCTGATTTTGAAACCTAAAACTATTAAATTTGGTATCGTGAAATCTATTTCTCTAGCATTAATCCAAACAAATATTTAGACACTTCATTGCAAAATGTTCTACTGATGGGAGATAACTCTGAAATATAACCAAACTACATCATATCTCTACTTGAGCCACAATAGACAAATAAATGTATAATAGCAGTTATACTAACACAGATATCCTTTAAATATGAAATAAAAATAATAGGACCTAGAAATATATCATATTGCCAAAAGACTCGAGAATTTAGTGAGGTCATTATCAAGAAATATGAACCACATTTCAAAAGTAGGAAGTTATTATGTAGTAAAATTGGCAATTTAAGATCATTAAACTTTAACTCCATTGATAGAATATTTCATATCCAAATAAGAAAAACTAAGACCATTGCATAGATCTACAACATTTATAAAACATAAGACAATAAGAGATGACTAAAACAACCTGCTTATAATATATTTTTTGCTAATTTGAAAAATTCACCAAACTAGCAAATATTATTGCAATACAAATTTACTTAATAATATATATAAAATTACAATTGTAGTCTAAAACTGATGATTCCAATCATCACAAATAAAGCATTTTCTCTATTTGGATATATTAATTAAATAATAACTCATTAAAACAATTTGAATTCATCTGTGGTTTCGGGAAAACAACTATAATACATAATATGATTTATACCAGATAATCCTTTTAGCAGTTGAATTCTCCAATGTGGTTTTTCTCATGCTGTAAGTATATCATGCACTGACATTTTCCTAAGAATTTTTCCATTTCAATTCATCTTGGATAATGGGAACATACATTTTAAAATTTCACTGGGTAAGTGGGAACACACATTTATTAGATAAAAAGGGGTGCCCCACCAAAATCTGCCACAAGTTGTTGCCCATTTACTGTCAAATGCAGGAAGAATACAATTTTTCATTTAAATGTGAATTTAAAATCATCAGTGCAGAGTATTGCACCTACTAATTAGCTAGCAGATTTTATTTTATTATAACAAATAAATAACAATGATTGTCACAGAGCCATCAATATCACAGTTTCTTCGCTTGTCCTTCACAAATCAGTGTTCTGAAACAGTCCCTCATCTGTAATAGAAATTAAATTATTCTTTCAAAATATTGTTATGATCATAATATTTAATGATATACAATATATACATTATTTTAGCTTGATGTGTAATATAATCTAATTTGTAAGTGATTTTTACCTTTTCATATCTAAATTTTTTTTGGACAAAAAATGTTCTATGTTAAAGCATTGGAAATCACTGAAATTAGAAGTTGTGAAATTTTAAAATTCTGTTTTAACCTAAAATGTCTTGGGAAGGGGGAAATAAGGTCCATATTTGGCCAAACAATTGCCTTAGGCAACCCTATTATGATGTCATACATTGAAAATTTGGCCTGATTCATTTATATTTCTTAAAATTATGTATTTCCTATGGGATGTGCAAAATAATGTAGTTAAAAAAAACTGTATTTTCTTAGACCGAACACGGGCCTATATGCACTATAAAATGCAATAGAATTAAGTTCAGGTTAAGTGTATCTTAAACAAACTGACATAGTTAAAGTTACAACTGATTTTCTCAAAGTGATCAACACCTATTTTGTATAGAAAACCTAACTTACTTTTTGTGAAGGGAGACATGTACCAAAGGCCTCTATCAATAATGGTTCCTCTTTCACTGATGTGGTAAAATCTAATAATGAAACTCTGCCATCATGGTCACGATCCTGTAAAGTACATACAATATGTTAACATTTCAACAGCCATTTAATTTTTGTTTTCCTCCATTTTGATGTTTTATATCAATTACCTATTGCCTAAAGTGCAAGCAAAAGGCAGTTACAAATGTATATGCATTTCATAAGTAATCATACAGTTAACCCAAACCAATATCCTTATGCACTGTGAACTAAAATCAGATGGCGAAACACTTGAATGACATGATAACTCAGGAAAATACAAATAGGTAGTCTCTTAAACATCAGTTTTACCAAAATTTAATGATTATATCCTATTTCTTAAAGCTTATATCTTTAATTGCTTGACTGCAGCTTTATAAAACATTCTAGTTGTCATAAGTTCGTTATTCATTGGAATGAATTTGAGACTGAATATTTTCAGCTTTCCAATGTCCCCCACCAATGCACATATTCTTATATTCAAGGGCAATTACTCCAATATGATGTTGGAGCAGTTCTTTTTATATTATTCATTAATATTCTACAAGAAAACACCACTGTTAGATTGCTTACAATGGAATTTTCCATATTATTTCTTTTTCCAAGGGCATAACTCCAGTAAAAATAGTTGATCAGTGGTGATTGTCAAACTAGTTCAATACATGCTGATAAAAATTTCACAACATTTGACAAGAATTGTATGTGTGAGAGTGCTTACCAAGACCAGACAGATAGATATTTGTATGTCCCCCACAATGAGTTGTTGCTGGGGGACAAAAATGAACATCTGCAGTTAAATAAAGTGTGTGTGTGGATTAACATACTTAATTTTTAATGTTTTTTAATTTTGGTTCGCTTATATGTTTCAGAGTTTAGTGTGACGTCCATTTTTTCTAAACTAGTATACATTATTGTTTAGGGGCCAGATGAAGCCTGCCTCGGGATGCAGAATTTTCTCGCTGTGTGGAAACCCATTGGTGGCCTTTGGCTGTTTTCTGCTCTTATGGTTTGGTTGTTGTCTATTTGACACATTCCCTGTTTCCATTCTTAATTTTATACATTTACTTAATTTGAACTTCACTTCTTTACTTTCATAAAAATTCGTAAGGGTTCTGCAGAACCCAGTGTCTCGCCTACTTTTGCTGTTAATCGCAGGCTCAACAAAAATGAGGAAAAAAATTAATAAAAATATTCCTCTCTATACTATCTTTTGATTGTAAGTAGCTTCTGTCCAAGTTTGGTAAAAATCCAGGATAGTTTTATGAATCTAATAAATGTTATAAAAACTTAAACTGCAGACTGTATATATGTAATGTTAACTGGAAGAAAAACTAAGTCCATTTATAAGTAAAATACGGAAAAAATGGAACAAAATTTTAACAAAATTTCCTTCTAGATACTAGCTTTTAATCATAAACAAGCTTCTGTCCAAGTTTGGTACAAATCCAGGATAGTTCAAGAAAGTTATTAAAATTTCAAAAACTTTAACCACAGAGTGAATGTAATGTTTCCTGGCAGAAAAACTATGTCCATTTATAAGTAAAATATGGAAAAAATGGATTTTTTTTTTTACAAAATTTACATCTGGATACTATCTTATGATCATAAACAAGCTTCTGTCCAAGTTTGGTAGAAATCCAGGATAGTTTAAGAAAGTTATTAAAATTTCAAAAACTTTAACCACAGAGTGAATATCTGTGGACTACCGCCGATGGAATGTAGGATCGCTAGTTCTCGCTTTTTCGACTAAAGTCGAAGGCTCGACAAAAATGAGACTCCAGATGATTAAAAAATTAGTATATTCATGTATAAGATTCAAATGGGAACATTTTGACAATATCATATCAACTGTAGCTTACCAATTTCTTCAGAATCAATTCTACTAATTCTTTAATACTTTCATCTGAATCTTCATCATGTGTTTGCTGAAAAAAGAATTATCAAATGTATCAATCTCTACCATAATTCTAAAGGCCAATATCAAGGTTAAAATAGGAATATCAACTTATTAAAACAAGGAATTATTTGAATCTGGAATAATTTTGAATTCTGGAAAATTGATAAGAAATTTATGATGAAAACTAACCTAATTTAGTAGGGTTAGCCATGCATGGGGGTTAGTTAGTTCATACTGAAATATCAGTGAAAGTCAAATTAACCTTAGCCATGCACACATGACTAACCCTACTTATAGTTGGGTTAGTTTTCATCATACATTTCTTATCAATTTTCCAGATTCAAATAATTCCTTGTTTTAAACAAATACCAACTGTCAGTGACTGATCTTACAGAAACTGACTTATACTCCTGACTTGGTACCGTACAAGCATTTCTGATAGGAAAAGAGAGGCAAAAGATACCAAAGGGACATTTAAACTCATGGCTAAAAAGGAAAAAGACAAACAGACAAACAACAGTAAACAAAACACAACATAGAAAACTAAGACTGAGCAGGAGAGGAGTTTAAAAAAACATTTCTTATGGAAGATAGTGTGCACACCCTGAAATGTCTCGCCTGCTTTACCTATCATGATTGAATTTCATACAATACACAGAATATAGTTAAGACTATAGCTTATAGTATCTGAGAAACAGACTTTAATTATGAAAATTGAACATTAACCAATGAACCATAAAAATGAGTTTGAGGTCAGATGAACCCTGCCAAACAACATGAACAACATGCAATCATTCCATACACCAAATATAGTTGACCTATTGCTTATAGTATATGAGAAACTTTAATAACCATGACAACTTAACATTTACTAATGAACCATGAAAATGAGGTCAAGGTCAGATGAACCCTGCCTGACTGACATACAAAGATACACAAATGGAGGTCTTACCAAGATCCCTTTGTGATACAGATTTCCAGAGAGAAAAATCTGTATTTCATGAAATGAAACTGTAAATTTTGTTCTTTGTAAACATACATCAACTCAATAGTTTTTATATCCTTATTCTTGGTCCTCTCCACTTTAAAACAGCACAAATTGTTATGCTCAGTCAATTTTAAGAATATAAACATGTCCAACATCACTTCCCAGAGATTCTTTTCAAGACTCATCTGCCATGCATAAGTATTATTAGTACTAGTATCTAAGCATACCTTAACTAAGCTGTATTTCAGAAGCTGGAACATTTCTTCTCTTGATATGTATCCATCTCCATTTAAATCATACACCATGAAACAAACTGTAAATGCATTAAAATTTGTGTAAATTACAACTGTGAGTGGTAAAAATTATTATAATTGAATAATGAAAAACAAAATTGTAAGTATTTTTCAAAATTATTCTAACAGACAATACAGCCAAATCAGTGGATACTGACAATTCATGAGACATTTTACAACGCAGACAGACCTGTGAATACTGACAATTCATGCAGATTTTACAGTACAGACAGACCTGTAAAAACTGACAATTCATGACAAATTTTACAGTACAGACAGACCTGTAAATACTGACAATTCATGACACATTTTACAGTACAGGCAGACCTGTGAATACTGACAATTCATGACACATTTTACAGTACAGACAGACCTGTGAATACTGACAATTCATGACACATTTTACAGTACAGACAGACCTGTAAAAACTGGCAATTCATGACATATTTTATAGTACAGACAGACCTGTGAATACTGACAATTCATGACACATTTTACAGTAGACAGACCTGCGAATACTGACAATTCATGACACATTTTACAGTACAGACAGACCTGTGAATACTGACATTTCATGACACATTTTACAATGCAGACAGACCTGTGGATACCTGTTAACAATTCATGACACATTTTACAGTACAGACAGACCTGTGAATACTGACATTTCATGACACATTTTACAGTACAGACAGATCTGTGAACACTGATTTTTCATGACACATTTTACAGTACAGACAGACCTGTGGATACCTTTTAACAACTCATGAGACATTTTACAGTACAGACAGACCTGTAAAAACTGGCAATTCATGACATATTTTATAGTACAGACAGACCTGTGAATACTGACAATTCATGACACATTTTACAGTAGACAGACCTGCGAATACTGACAATTCATGACACATTTTACAGTACAGACAGACCTGTGAATACTGACATTTCATGACACATTTTACAATGCAGACAGACCTGTGGATACCTGTTAACAATTCATGACACATTTTACAGTACAGACAGACCTGTGAATACTGATATTTCATGACACATTTTACAGTACAGACAGACCTGTGGATACCTTTTAACAACTCATGAGACATTTTACAGTTCTTTTAGAACAATTAAATACTATAGAGTGATGAGATTTGCCTGTACCTATTTTATTTGTTTGTCCTTTTCTATACTCCCTTCAATAATCCATTGATTGAGATTGAAAATTGGGGAGTGTTGAGATCTCAACAAACTTGTTCATGTGCTTGTGTCAATTCAGGAATCTCATTAATGGTTGTCTTTTGTTATGTCCTATGTCTTTTTTTTGTCAATTAGAAATTTGGTATTGATGACCCATTTTCTCTGTTAAAATTAATCATTATATGTGAAGACAATTTACAGCAATGACATATTTTCTATTATTGTAGACTGCACATTGACCTCATGATGTTTTTTGGTTATGGGTTGCTTTTATTCATATTAAATTTAATGAAATGTTTGTCGAAACAGATGGAACTGTGGATGCTGACTTTCATTCGAACAAAATCAAAATTTATAGTACAAACAGATCTCTATGAATCGATACTGAATTACTTTAACAACAAAGTTTACAGTACAAACAGATCTGTGGCTGCTATGTTAATTCAATGACAGATTGAACAGACAAAATTAAATGTTAACTTACATTTTATGACAGATTCAGGTTCTGATTGATCAATAAAGGTAGATAACCCTGTCACCCACTCTTCCTGACTGATGTAATTATCACTGTCTTGATCAAAAGCTCTGAAAACTAAATATTTGTACAGATAAGTGTGATTTTCCTACACATAGTATAAATGTTTAGAGTAAAATATACAGTTTCAGACACTGAACTTTTAGCATGCATAGCTGAATACCGCAGCACTAAAACGGCCTGAGGAGAACACTGTATCAAGATGGGAGATAATTCTTTTAACACTTTTTGGAAGAAAAGGAGGGATTGTGACATTAGTTAAAACTGTTACGTATTCATGTCACCTTGAACTTCTAGTTAATGTCTTAATGAGGCATAAAAAGTTAGTAAACATGATTTCTTTTTTCTAAACCTGATTACATTATCATAAAGTGTCATAATAAAAGATATCAAAATGCTTGTTATACATAGTTTAATATCAATTCAAGTTATTCATGCTTATAGACAAATATTTTGTAACATTTATGTTTAAAGTCCATCACCTGTGAAATATATGTTGTGTTCAGTGCTCACCAAGGTTATAACATGACATACATGTATACATGCAAAATAAGATAAAATTTCCATCTCTCAAATTTCAAGTCAAAACGAAGGTAGCTTAGCATTATACATAATACCACTGAATATAACACATATATTTCAAAAGACACTTGACTGTAAAATACAAAAAAAGTTTTATACAATTATCAACCTTACACCCTTAACTTACAGATTGACTTTTTTTTCAATTTCTAATCTGTTTTTGTTTATGTGCTGATGACTTGTATAATGAAGAAGAAAAAAGACTACACAATATTCTGACAACAGAAACAGCCAAAGACTGATCATAACATACTATATGCATAATGAAACCCTGGCAGACTTTAAATTTAATACAATTATAAAAAAATTTTATACCACATACTGACAAACTAATGTAAGGCTACATTTGTCATACATTTACCTCTATCCAACAGAATATCATCAGTCATTTCAAAGTGTTGATGGAGTAAGTCTCGGAACTTGGATCTGTCAATTTTATATGATGGAGGAGAATTTTTCACCAGTTCTTGGTACATGTAAATCAATTTCTCAATCTCATGTTTCTTAACTGAAAAGATATATACATATTTGTAATGATGTAAAAAGTGGATGAATTAATAATTTTTTTATTATAACACAAGATCGCTTAGCGATTTTACACATTATAAAACAATTAAATCAGATAGCCATAAAAGTTACATTACAAACATACTCCTTTCAGTTGAGTTTGTTATGGTAGACTATCATACATGATTCCTATTTGAGGGTTGTGCACGAGATATACAATAATGGTAGAGTATCATTCTTCAGATGCAGTTAAGGATATGTTATGATACTGATAGATTAAAGTTAATTACCACATACAAGTTACGATATTTATGGATTCTTTAGTAGAAGAAATAGTTTTTGTCCATAAAATAATAAATCGTCTTCCCAAGGGATATAATCAAACTAGTTTTGGTGATGATTGGGTTATTTGGTCCATCTGAATTATTTTGATTTAAACATATTTTATTTGCATAAACACAAATTGGATGAGACACAAGTCAAACAGACTTATGAAGTCTTCTCCATTTAACATATTTAACAATACAATATATAAGAGCATGCATACATTACATATTATTTCAACATTTGTATAAATTGGACAGAAAAATTAAGTGGCACAAAAGCAGTAGAGAGAGAAAAAAATAAAATAATAGAACACAAAAAAAAAGGAAATAAATTAATAAAAAAAAAAAAAAAAAAAAACGCAGCTGAACATAGATGATGATGTGTGTGTGGTCATGTTTTACTATCTAAACAATTAGGAATCTTTTCCACCCTCTAATAAACTCAAACACATGTTTAAAGATATTTTCATTTTGCTCCTGAGTAAGTAGACTACTACCCGAGGTTAATAGTTCTATATTTAATGGACAGTTATTTGGGAGCCAGCTAAGATTTTCTAAAAGCTTACTTCGTATTTCTGAATATAATATACATCTAAAAAAGAAATGATGCGAATCTTCGCGATACACACCGCAGCAGCAAGAAGGATCAGAAATAATATTAACTCTAGACAGATCATAATTTAAGAAGGAAGCAGAACATCGAAGTTGAGTAAGTACAATGTTGAGTTTACGACTTCCAAACTCATATTGTTTCGGCATGTATATATTACTATTAAGATTTAAGTTTTTTAGTTTCGTTTTAAATTTTCCTATTGTATCTGAATTATTCTCTCTTCTTACATGTACAACTTATTTCATTTTGTATTAAATATGTTTCTCTATAAAGCAGTACTTTATATCAAAATTTAAGCTCACATATTATTCAAATTATTCCATTTAATCAAACACAACATAACAAAACAAATGAATAAGGTTGAACATGGATAAGGACCAAGGATCTGGAAATTTTTCAACACAATTTCGGTCATTTTGAGATGATTGAAAAGTTGATGCCCCTTTCCAAATTGTCGATGTCAACTTGACTAGATTCATAGCATCAACGAACTTGTATTGCTGTTTCATCACATTTACTAAGTAAATGTCTTACCATTACCACGAAGAACAGTTTAGGGAAGGCAAATAATAGTTTAAAATTGAAAAGATTTTAATGACTCAAAATGGTAAATCTCTCAGACATTGCTTACGTTTCTTTCGATTTGACAAAAGTTAAAACCGGAAGTTTGAGATAAAGTTAAAGTACGAATAATTCCAGATTCATTTCCGGGATTTGTTTTGTTTATCAAATTGACAGGAAATCACCGGCTTTTTATGGCTTTTTTATTTTATTACCTTTAAAAGTGTTTGAATGTAACAGACAATAGTTGCACTCGTTTAATTTAGCATGAAATCAATTTGCATTTTACGATTAAATATTAAATTTGCTGAAGACAATTTCACGCATGCGTATAATATTTATATAGTAAATAAAGCACATGAAAATATACTTTTTTCTCTGTAAATTTAGGTTTAATTTTTAAATCAGATTTGATGATTGTCTTTGCTGAAAAGTACAGTAATTAAATAATGAATACACTTGTCAGGGAATTTCAATTTTTGTTAAGATATTATTCTGAGCTTGTGATCACTGTCAGGTAATACAAGTCTTAGATGAATGAACTTTGCCTTAATCTTCATGACAATCTTTTAATCATGATTCATTTCGTCAAATCATTAATAATACACTATTAAAGAAAACCTGTTTACATTTTAAGTATGTCACTTTATTTTGAGGAAACAATAAAAAAAAACTATTTATAGCAATACACTAACTTAAACAGGATTAAAAATGTATTCAACACAAAACCAGTTAAAAGGGTGCGAACGTGAAAGGGGCGAACGTGATTTTGGGCGAATGGACCCGGATTCAGGCTAATTTCAGCCACCAAGACCCCAGCTGTCAAAGTATAAACCAATTTTTCAATGACATTATTTATATAGTCTATATGGACCCAGATTCATCATCATAATTATACAATTTTACTATGGGTTCTCTTTGTGTACATTCTAATTGAAAATGATTACATCAGTCTTGTTTTACCATGCAGTCCAAAATGTAATAAATATAGTGAGCTTGATAAGGCTGTTTACAAAAAAATAAATTGAATTATAACATGACATACAATTACAAGTGTGCTTCTTTGTTAGTTTTTCTATCAGCTTTGTTTGTTCTTGGCGCTTGCTGTTGTGGTGAGACATTTCTATTGATGAATATTTTCCTACGAGAAAAGGTGAAAGTGATTTTTGGCGTTATGTTGTCAAGCACTTTACACATGCGCACTCCGTTTTTCGTCTGCGGGGCTACTTTAGAAAATAAATAATAATTTATCTGCATAAACTCGTATTACATATAAATTATATATATAAATTAATTCAAATTTAAATGCAACATTTTTAATAAAATGTCTGTAACTTTAAAATTTTGACCAATAGTTTAACTGCAACAGCGACAGAAAATTGCAGCATGGCGGATGCTGATTCTCTGTATGACATGAGCTCGGATCAAGAGCAAGATCTGAGCGCTGCAGATGCAGATGTTGAAGAAGACGAAGTGTCTGAACATGGGTACATTACTAAAGTAACAGGCAAACCCCAAATATTAATCATTTATTGAAGATAGGTTGGTTGCACCCTGAAATCCTGCTGTACCCTACACACAAAATATTTAAAAAAAATTCCCTTCGGAAATTCTTCTTGTTCTTCCGGTCTAATGTGAAATAAGATATTTACGTATTGTGACCTAATACTGACACATTAAATCTCCTATTCTGACCTTTGCAAAGACGACTGCATTAAATTTGAAACAAACAACTTGCAATGTAGATGACGATTAGTTTAGCTGGCTAGGTTCTTGTCCAGAGCTATTTTTTCTAAATTTTTATACATAATACAGTTGCCAGAGCTCCAGATAAGCTGCGTATTTGCGTGATCACGCAATAAAAATAATTAAAAACCTGATGCAATTGCCCATTACAGGGTTCAAAAACCCAATTCATTCAAAGGAAAACCCAATTATATGCCAAAAGGCAAAACCATGAGTTCTTAACGCTTTTATTCGCTATCGTTTGTGTTATTTACCCTTATCTGATTACAGTCGTTGCGTAAATCTATTTTTATAATATTTATAATCGGAAATGTTCTTTCGTTCTAAAAATAGAGCCCTGCATCAAGTAGCCGAAATGGGTCCCTGTTGGAATTTTCCATTGCTCAAAAGGTACACATGTTTATGAAAACATTTCGATCTTCTCAGTGTTTATCCAATTAGCGTTTGTCTTGTTGTCATATTTTTTTCGAATTGCTCGGGATTTATCATAACATACAATGAATTAAAACGAAAGTAAATATCCAATTAAAAATATTGAATAGAGGCATGTTTTCAGCTTCTTTTTGATACTTTAGGGAAAGTTATTATGATGATAACAAGAACCGTTTGCGTACCTTAATGAGAACATTGCTAGAACGATAAACACGGGGTTTTGTCAAGAACGAAATCAGTTGGAAAAAGTGAAAGGCCAAATCAATTATGACATATATGTAGTTGGAAAGCATCAGAAACCAAAAGTTCTAATCAGCTGGGACAACTTAACCCAGATTTATGTAAATTAAATTAAACAAAAACATTCAAGTATAATTTTAGTTTATATATTATTTTTTTCATTTTAGTTGATGAGTGAATACACATATCCGTTTTTTACGTCAATGCATCTTGACACTTTCTTTGTTTTGGTCTTATTGTTCTGTATGCTTATGATAGTTGTCTTATTGGCAAGTGCAGTTTAACATTGTCATTTATTTATTTGATGTTGCAGAATTATTTGTAAATTTAACTCTGTAAATTTAAGTTGAATGTGGTCTCCGTCATTAAACCTATAAACCTGGTCAAGGTTTTGGGGTATATCTTAAATCTGGGAACTACTTATTATATTTATTAAAAAGTAGATCTGGCAAATAGGTGAAAGGACTGGCAAAACTTTCTTACAGCACCTAAATTTCACATATATTACATAAAAATCTAAACACTTAGCCATGCCTACCCCAACTAAACTGTAGGGTGATCATATGGGATCTAGAAAGGTAATTAGTAACTGTCCAACTAGTGTCACCAGCTGCAGTTTATATAAGTTGTGAGAAAATACAAAACTGGCAGAACGTTTAAAATCGGACACAAATTAAACGTCAGTGAATAAACCAAATAAAACAGCTAGCATATATACAAAGAAAGAAACACATTTAAGATGGAAAAACATCTGCATGGGGTTGATATAATGTGATTATAACATGCCTAAACATTCAATATTGTGTTGATGAAAGAACCCAATACATTAAGGAGCTTGGTGGTGAAAAACCCAATTCGATATTTGCTTGAGGGGTGAATTGGAATTGATAATGCAATTTAAAAACTTTATCACCCAATTACATAAAAAAATGGTGGGTAAAAACCCCAATTTGTGAATTCTTATCTGGAGCTCTGAGTCGCCCTCAGTATCCCTTGTCAAGGTATGAGGTCAGTCGAACCCTAAAACAATCTGGTCCGAATCGATCCGGCATCAAGTCGATCAGTTCTGAGTCGTTCAAGCCCCACATTGGTATGACTATAAATATTTTACATGAAATAAATCATATATCCAGCTATAAATCTTGACATAAATATTAAAAAAAAAATTAAGAATAAATGTCTCTTCTAACGGATTAATATCATTGAAGTAATGTTGCCTTAAAATTAATAATAATAATAATAAATTCTTTATTTGAAGAGGGTAACTTGATAAGAACTAGTCAAATTTCATTGAGGCTTGCAATTGAGAAAGAAAAGCTAAGAACAAGAATATTTCCATTTTAGCAGATTAGATGTAGCATCCAGGAAGAAACACAAAAAATATTTAAAGAAAAGAAAGCATAAGGATATAGAAAGATCAAGTGGGGATTCTGATGGTCAGATGATGAATGATGATGAAGAAACACATATCCCTAATGCCAATAGATTGCCTGTCATCACAAGCAAATCGGATCAAACTTCAGGAATGGAGGCCGATTCAGAGAGTCAAGGATCAGGATCTAAAGGATCAGAAGAAGGAAAGAGAGATATAGAGAATGATGCAGTTCTTATGAATGCTGGAGCATCTGGTCCTATTTCAGAAAATGCACCTGATGTGAGTATTCAGTATATATTGAATGAATCCGGGTCCGTTTGCCCAAAAACATGTTCGCTCCCATTCACGTTTGCACCTTACATGTTCGCACCCCTGGTCTGTTCACACCCTTTTTATTAGTTTTGTAATAAATAATTTTTCAATGATTTTTTGGTTAGTGTATTGCTATAATATTTTTTTTTGTTCATTGTTTCAAAATGAAGTGACTTTCTAAAAACAATTTTTGTGTTGAATAATTTTTATGCCCCCACCCCCCCCCCCCCCCCCCACCCCCCCGTAGCGGAGGGGGCATTAAGTTTTACCCTTGTCCCAAAATTAGTATCTCTAACTTTAGTTTGTCTCATCCAAATGTTATGAAACTTATACACAATGCTTATTACCACAAAACACAGATCAAATTTGAATTTTGGTGGCGTCACTTTTACTGTTTTAAAGTTATTCCCCTTTACAAATGGAAAAATTGCTGAATTTTTCGTTTCCGTTCTCTAACTTTAGTTAACCTCAACAAAATGTTATGAAACTTATACACAATGCTTATTGCCACAAAACACAGATCAAGTTTGAATTTTGGTGGTGTCACTTTTACCGTCCTAGAGTTATGCCCCTTTACAAATGGAAAAATTGCTGAAATATTCGTTTCTGTTCTCTTACTTTAGTTTGCCGCAACCCAATGTTATGAAACTTATGCACAATGCCAATTACCACAAAACACAGATCATGATCGGATTTTGGTGGTGTCACTTATACCGTTCTAGAGTTATGCCCCTTTACAAATTGAAAAATTGCTGAATTTTTCATTTCCGTTTTCTAACTTAAGTTAGCCTCAACTAAATGTTATGAAACTTATAAACATTGCTTTTTACCACAAAACTCAGATCAAGTACAAATTTGGGTAGCGTCAATTTTACAGTTCGTGAGTTATGTCCCTTTATAATGTTATGTACAAGCGGGGGCATCATCTTATGGACACATTCCCTATTTATTTAATCTAGTTTTGGTTATTGTATTGCTATAAAAAAATTTTTGTTGTTTCAAAATAAAGTGACTTTCTAAAGACGTTTTTTGTGATGAATTTATTTTGATGTTGAAATACCGAACCACTATTAAACTCAACAACAAAAACTTTTTGAATCTTCATTGTTTTTACTCATACCAAGCTACATACATGCTAACTACATGCAGAATTTACATCAAAGCTAGTTAAAAGAACAATCACGATTTTCGAACACATAACAATAACACCAAGTTTAGCTGTGTAAACACCATATTAACAGTAATCATACATAATTAACATTTAATAATTAATCATCAAATCAGTTTAAAACAATGTTTCATTTATGAAAATAAAGATATTTTTATATAAACATCTAAAAAACATCGAATAATTCATCAGGTTTTTATACGACCGCAAACAAATTTTGCGGCCGTATATTGGTATGACGTTGGCGTTGTCTGAAGACACATTGGTTTTCGCACTCTAACTTTAGTTTAAGTGAATGGATCTCTATGAAATTTTACCATAAGGTTCAATACCACAAAATAAAGGTTGAGATTGATTTTGGGGGTTATGGTACCAACAGTTAAGGAATTAGGGGCCAAAAATAAGCATTTTTGTAACTTCCAGACATAACTTGTGTGTTAGTGTATGGATCTCTCTGACATTGTACCACAAATGCAATGTTCCATATCACAAAGGGAATGCTTGGATTGATTTTGGGGGTAATTGGAATTAGGGGCAAAAAACAAGCATTTTTATAGTTTCATGACAATAACTTGTGGGTAAGTGTATGGATCTTTCTGAAATTGTACTACAAGGTTCCATATCACAAAGGAAAAGCTGGAATTGAGTTTGGGGGTAATTGTCCAAAATGTTTAGGAATAAGGGGCCAAAAATAAGCATTTTTCTAGTTTCCAGACAATAACTTGTGTTCAAGTGTATGGATTTCTCTGAAATTGTACTGCAAGGTACCATACCACAAAGGGAAGGCTGGGATTGACTTTGTGGGTAATTGCCTTAAAATTTTAGGAATTAGGGGCCAAAAAGGGGCAAAAAACAAGTATTTTCCTAGTTTCAGGACAATAACTTGTGTGTAAGTGTATGGATTTATATGAAACTGTACTACAAGGTTCCATATCACAAAGGGAAAGCTGGGTTTGAGTTTGGGGATAATTGCCATAAAGGTTTAGGAATTTGGGGCCAAAAAGGGGCCAAAAAACAATAATTTTTCTAGTTTCCAGACAATAACTTGTGTTCAAGTGTATGGATCTCTCTGAAATTGTACTGCAAGGTACCATACAACAAAGGGAAGGCTGGGATTGAGTTTGGGGGTGATGAATCAAAAGGGGGTTCAAAAAATTGGGGGAGGGAATTTTTTTTCCTTTTTTTCCTTGTTTTTTCTTTAAAATTTTCCATTTTAAATTGGTTATTTCTAATTTATATATAAAAGCAAATAATAATAATATGGTTTGAATAGGTAAATTAAAAAATTTTAAGTTCGTAGACCACATTCATTCTGTTTCAGAAACCTAAGCTGTGTCAAATATTTTATCACAATCCAAATTCAGTGCTGTATCAAGCTTGAATGTTGTGTCCATAATTGCCCCAACTGTTCAGGGTTCGACCTCTGCGGTCGTATCAAGCTGCGCCCAGTGGAGCATTTTATTGAATAAAAAAAAAGTGCAAACGGTCCCAGGGGGCGAACATGTATTGGGCGTGAAAGGACCCGATACCTATTGTAATGTATGTGCAGTGTGAAATTAGTGGTAGACTGATAGATGACAGTGATTTTCCTGCCTCTATTCCAGGGGCGATATTCGGCCCCGTTCCCAATCAGAAAATACCTGAAATTTCCCAATTGAACCGGTAAAATTCCCAGTTCAATTAAGTTGTAGCGGAAAGGTAATTGATAATTTTATTGTTCTTATAATTTGGTTCAAAATATAGGTTGTTGTACTGTTCCCAAAGAAAATCACGTTGAATATAGACAGGTAACTATCATATTTCGTAAACCAGTTTTTACAATGGTAAGCTTAGACGTCCGGTGGTTAACGGTAAGAATTTGGAATGATATGAAGTGATGGTGCTGTGTTATTATCTGATTAACATTGTAAATATATGCATATGCCTACATGAGAAACTAAAAGGTCTTCATTATTTTCTCATAAGCAAATTTTTACTATATGCTTTTTCGGCAATGTCGTATTGAGTGAAGATATGCCGGTCTGGTTTATTTTTTTGCTGTGAATTGAGCAAGCCCAAACAGACAACATGTCTTCTCATAATTCAAAATATTACGTTCACAAATTGAAAAAGGCAAAGATGCCACTGATTGTGAAAAACTTGATATGTTTGGCTTTAAAAAATCCAAAATTAGTACTGAAGATACTACAGGGACTGATATCATTTCCACATGTCTACCAGCTTGTCTATTACTCCCTATGTATACTAGTCTCTACTGCAGTAGTGGAAAGAACATTTAGTCTCATGAATAACATTTGCACACCAGAGAGGAATAGACTGATACAGGATCACCTGGATGCCATAATGACGATTTGCAGAAAGGGCCCTGGAACTCTCACAGATGAGAATTTAAACAAACTGGTTGATATGTTCAAATAAGAACATGAAAGAGAATTGGAATTTTAAAATAATAAATAACATCAATAAAATATATTGAACACAATGATTTATTTCTTCCCAATTCATACATCCTTTGTTAGTCTTGTATTATTTTTAATTTTAGTTTCTTGTGTACAATTTGGAGTTTAGTATGGCGTTCATTATCACTGAACTAGTATATATATTTGTTTAGGGGCCAGCTGAAGGACGCCTCCGGGTGCGGGAATTTCTCGCTGCATTGAAGACCTGTTGGTGGCCTTCTGCTGTTGTCTGTTCTGTGGTCGGGTTGTTGTCTCTTTGACACATTCCCCATTTCCATTCTCAATTTTATTATAAGACACATTTTTCCCATTTGCCTAGGGCCCAGGCCCCATTTGAAAAAGGGTAGGAAAATCACTGGATGGAGTCTTACCTTAAATTTGACCAGTCTAAGCAGATAGCAATGATTGTAGGCCTACTGTCTACATGGATGTAAAATACTTTGTGCAGTTCAAATGTATTTATGAAAAATAATTAATGTATGAAAAGCAAATGAGAAGCCAGCCTTGTTGCCTACCAAACAAATTGAATATTGCTTCAATGATCAGGATATTCACTCTTTATTCTGTTCATTACAGGTCAATGTCCTTTAAGATACATTTTTTTTTTCAAATTTGCAGCAGAGGAGACATTTACATAAAATTAGTGTGTATCAAAGTCTTAATTTTGTAATTACTGGAGAGTAGAGGAAAGGTGGTTTACTGACATGACTGATGTTCAAATCTCATAAATCAATTAAAAAGACTAAAACTAATGGACTCACTGAAACTACAAAAGGAGCCAGATTGGTTGTGTTGGCAGGATTAACGTCTTCTGCTATGTTTGAATCACCTGCCATGCAAAGCACACTCATGCCTTTTATTATAAAGACAAAAATTCAGAAATATCTGCTCAAGTAAATTTTGACTAAATTTTCAACTGTGCTAATTATATAATTTTCAGCCGTCAACTTTGAAACTTCAAAGAATCCAGAAAGCAGTAGAATTATTGACTCTTTCCTCACAAGGAGCACCAAAAAGTATGGAAGAGGCAAGCAAGAAGAGGTACCAGTTTTGGGAAACACAACCTGTTCCTAAAATAAGTATGTATATTTGCATGCATGAAAATTTCTTTTAGTTCACACCATTTCCAGTAATAGCATTATATTTAAACTGATACAAACATATACTAGGTTTGAAATATTAGCTGTAAGTTGTAGTTGATTTGCTGATTTTTAAGATGTCAACATATAAATTTGACTTATTTTGCTGCATTTTTGCCTGAAATAAAATTAAAAAAAAATTCTCACAAAAAACTGTGATTGTTTAATAAGCATTAATATGATAAGTGGAAACAAAAATAAAACAGAACTATGAAACTTATGTACACAGATTCTGGTCTTGTATTTGAATTATTGCAATAGACCCATACTTGTAAGTCACACAATTACTCAAGATTATTTAATCATTCACTCCTCCTCTTGGTCATTTTACCTTTTACTGAGAAGTAGGGGGAGGGGTTTATATAGTTTTTGACTTGTCTGCCAGTCTTTCATTCATACATTTGTACCTTGAGTCATTTACATTTCTGGATGCTAACTCAAATACTTTAAATCCAATTGCAACCTAACTTGGATATATGGTCAAATGAAATAAGCAGAAGAACCCTTTTTTAGGTCACCATGTCAAAGGTCAAGATTGTACGATGTCTTCAAAAGATAGATAAGTCTGACTTCGAAAATATCATATTTTTACTGTAATTAGCTCCTATATTTCTTTTCGAAGTTTGTATTTGTCTACATCGATTTTGTGCTTTTGGTTACATGCATTCACTGTAATATATATGCAAATGTGTGGGAGACATGATTAAAAATATAAGGTCTGGTTCCGGCGCATCTTAAATTTCCAGATTTGTTCTTCCAGTACAGGAATTTTTTCAGTATTTGTTTTTGCCTCAAAACCATCAAAAACGTAGCTGCATGCGGACACAATAAAGAGAAAAACACAGTTTTGTCCTCACTACCTTACATAGCTTGATATCTTAATTTGAAAACTATGGTCAACTTTGAGGAACATTTCACTTATTCAAGTTATTAATTGATAAAATAGGTGTCTGGTAAGCAATACTATTCATGGAGCCTTTTGTTTGAATAAGGGGACCCCTGCATGCTAACAACATTTTTAAAGGCAGTGCTTTAATGCCTTTCTGGTTGCCGGGTTAATCCTTCCTTCCGCGATATCCAACTTATCTACGTGGGGGGTCATTAGGCTCCAAGTAGATCCGGAAATGTTGAATTCTCTCCTCTTCTTATTGCGATATAAAATGTTTTTTGTTTCATTTCATTTACATTGGGAAATAGAGAAACGATCATTGTGTTTTGTTAGTTTTAAAAACTTTTGATATATTAGTATTTTGCATTATAAGCAGTCAACCGATTGACAAACTAGAATTATTTGAATTTCGTGTGGAAAGAGCTCGGGTTAATTTCGAGTGTTATCTGCAATCTAGATGTTTATAAATCATTTCAGTCGTTGATATAATAATTAAAGGTCGACTGAACATGAATTATATTATACAATTTAAAGCGCATTTCTGTTTATGCACGTGAACCCGTCTAACGTTATTGTTATTTCGCAGTTATATAAAGTAGCAAATTATCGTTCCTGAATAGGTGGCGCCGTGGTAGTGGATCCTGTTCCTCAACTTCCGGTTTCTGCATTGTGCAACTATTTCAGTTATATTTTTAATTAGCGATGCCAAGTACTTGTTGTTGTGTACCTGGATGTCATTTAAGAGGAGGACATGCATTTCCAAATGACTTAAAAAGAAGGAAAAGTTGGATCAACGCCATGGCCACTACGCAGATTGGACGAGAACACGATGATATCATGGAGTCCATCTCAATCAGCTGTTGTTTGCAAGGCACGTTTTACTGAAAAAGACTACGTGCAGGAAACTATTCATGGTAAAACTCTATTTTCTTTGTGAAATATATAGTAATATATGTAATCGCCATGCAAATAAACCAAAGTCTGTTTACTACCGCAATTATCGTTTTAGAATAAAAGGGGGTGGGTAATTCAAGACGTCATAATTTTTTGGATTACGATTCAATGTGATCTGTTTGAGATTTTTTGGTGATTGCTACAATTATAATGATTTCTTACAAGAGGTATATCATACTGAGAATTATTTTAGCAGTAATTATGCTAATGTAGTAATGACAGGAATGCATAAGCTATGCCTCATAGACTTTCTTGAAAAATATCAATGACAATGTTAACAGGAACAAAACAATGACATGCTCTCATCTATATTATAGTTATTTAGGTACAAACAATGTACGTTTGTTGCATAAGTCTCTCATTGTTTGTCCTTTGGATTTACATAACATACATTGAATCAGGCAAACATAGTTTTATCCAGATTGTAATGAATAAATCTAGTTATATTTCGCCAGGTAGTACAAAGTATACATTGCTAATGGAAGTTCATTTAATTATCAAAAAACTAATGTTTTATAACCTTTTTCAGGGCGCAAACCCACCATACAGAGACTTAAGTCTACTGCCATTCCCAGCCTATTTTCCTGGACCAAGCAAGAGACTGAATCGTCTGCAAAAAGAATAATCAGGGCAGTTTCCTGTGAAAACAAAAGAACTAAACTTGATGAATATTGTAGTAGAAATCTAGAGGAAAGTTTTGATTGTAAAGTTGGTTTTCCTGAAGAAGTCATTCATACTACAGAAAGGATTTATGACTGTCCACCACCAACTGCCGAGCTAATGTTGAGCTTCACAGATGGAATTACGCAAACACCATCAATGCCTATGTTTTCAGCAGAGAATTTTGAAATGAAGACACGTGACACAGCCATGCATTTTTATACCTGTTTAGAGTTGTATACTAAATTTTTATTTGTTTTGACCACACTTGGTCCAGCAGCACATTGTTTGAGATACATATATTTTCAAATTGATAGGGTGTCAGTTGAAAATCAGTTTTTTTATGACTTTGATGAAATTGAGGCATTATACAACCAACTTTGAACTGTCTAGATTCTAGATTGAATCTAGTGTTAAGAATATTGTGTATACATGGATTGTTTTTATGTCTAAACAGTGGTGTGAGGCTAACACTTGGCCATCTAGTGGTTTTGTCAGGTATTTTTCACCATCCAACTTCAAATTAAAGTTTCCTACGACTTGGATTATTATTGACAGCACAGAATATCCCGTGATAAAACCTAAAGCTCCTAGAGCTCAGGCAACCTTTTCATCAATTAAAAACAGAAACACTGAAAATTCTTGAATGTTCGACACCTGGTGGTTTAGTCAACTATGTCTCTATGTCACATAGAGCAAATTATTGGACTTGGTAAACATACAAAATTCTGATAAATCCTATGAATGGAACTGAAACAAAACTTTCATCTGAAATAACATTTAGTTGTTTTATGTTGTGTAATTTTAGAACTTGTATTGTGCCAAAGGATGCATAAATAAAAGTGACGCAATGAATTTTGTTCTGATATATATATATTTACAATTACATGCACATGTAAATTGTAATGCATATAAAAATAAGGAGATGTGGTATGATATTCAGTGAGTTTATCGAACTAAAGTGCATAAGAAATGGGTTTAAGCAGTTACAGGTGTTACTGTCACTGTACAATCTCCAACAATGAGAAAAACTCTTACCCTGTAAAAAATTTCAGAGATCTTACAACTAAGTTTTGTTGTCTCACCTTGACTTTGGTGAATTTTTTATATCTGTTGATGTAAATATAAAAAAGAAGATGTGGTATGATTGCCAATGAGACAACTCTCCACAAGAGACCAAATGACACAGAAATTAACAGCTATAGGTCATAGTACGGCCTTCAACAATGAACAAAGCCCATACCGCACAGTCAGCTATAAAAGGCCCCGAAATGACAATGTAAAACAATTCAAACAAGAAAACTAACGGCCTAATTTATGTACAAAAAATGAACAAATATAACAAATATGCAACACATAAACAAACTACAAACACTGAATTACACTTTTACAGGCTCCTGACTTGGGACAGGCACATACATGTACATACAGAATGTGGCGGGCTTAAACATGTTAGCGGGATCCCAACCCTCCCCCTAACCTGGGACAGTGGTGTAACAGTACAATATAAGAAAGAACTATAAAAATCAGTTGAAAGAGGCTTAACTCATCAGATGGATAAATACAAATACAAGTGGACGTGGTCGGGTAGTTGTACATCCAAACAACAAAAAGACACTAAGTACAGATCTGAGAGTATTCACAGTTACTGACAGCTAGTTCAAAGCCACTAACAACTGATAAAAAAATCTTGCATCTAAGACTAAATTATCAATCCGTAAGCTCCCTTTAGAATTTTATAAATTTTAGATTTTACATTTCTGAGTTGTGGGGTTTTATTCATTAAAAAAGGGGGGATTTTCCAGTTTTTGGACAACAACTCAAAAATGCTTTAAGCAGTTCACATGAAACTTTGGTGAATTATTTATAGCTATTGATGTAATCTCCCTATTGATTTTCATAAATTTCAAATATGACATTGAGAAGAAATTGAACTTTATTTGTTTATAGTCTGGCAACAGATTTATTAAGTATTGCGCAACAGCACAGTGTATTGCACAACAGCAAGAAATCTTTAATTGAATATAAATTCAATTCATATAACCGATTTCAAGTTCATTGACTACATTTATTCAGAAACTATAATATGTCAAATATTTAATTACAATCCAAATTCAGACCTGTATCAAGCTTGAATATTGTGTCCATTTTTGCCCCAACTGTTCAGGGTTGGATCTCTGCGGGTGTATCCAGCTGCGCTCAGCGAATCAGTTTATTTCTTAATTAAGAACTCCTTTTTTCATTCATAAATTACTTTATGCTTGGAAATATAATTTTGCTTGGAGTTGAAAGAGTTGACATGTTGCAATGTACATTTATTCTACATAGTTCTATGGTACCAAATCAAAAGTTTATATAAAAGAAAGAAATCAAAGGTTTCCCATCATAGTTTAGTTACATACATTTTTTTTGTACCTGAGGTCGTTGAATATAGATCATTATATAAATAAGGAGATGTGTTATGATTGCCAATGAAAAAACTAAGGATTTTCTTATCCAAGGAATAAATTACCTTAGCCGTATTTGGCACAACTTTTTGGAATTTTGGGTCCTCAATGCTCTTCAACATTTGTACTTGTTTGGCTTTATTACTATTTTGATCTGAACGTCACTGATGAGTCTTATGTAGACGAAACACGCGTCTGGCATATTAAATTATAATCCTGGTACCTTTGATAACTAATTTGACTATAAACATAGATAAAAAAGATACAAACTGGACATAATGCACTAGTTCATAAACAAGTGAGAACAATTGCCTTCATATAGTGCTCAGAATATGACATTCATAAAACTTGTTCAATATCATTAGAGAACTCTAAATCTTAAATACTGAAAGCCACCTCTGATAATTACACTGTACTATGCAAGATAATGATATAACTGGACTAAAAATACACACAACCTGTAATTAACTGCCTTTACAGCGCTTTCACGCTTTGATTATTAAAAGAACTAGTGCAAATATGATGTAGAGATGCCAGTTGGTTCATAAAGCATTGAGCATATTTCTGCCCCCGCCGTAGCCGAGGGGGCATTAAGTTTTACCCTTGTCCGTCTGTACGTCCATCCGTCCGTCCGTACATCCAAAAATTGGTTTCCGTTCTCTAACTTTAGTTTGCCTTAGCCAAATGTTATGAAACTTATACACTATGCTTATTACCACAAAACACAGATCAAGTTTGAATTTTGGTGGAATCACTTTTACCGTTCTAGTGTTATGCCCCTTTACAATTGGAAAAATTGCTGAATTTTTTCGTTTCCGTTCTCTAACTTTAGTTTGTCTCAACCAAATTTTATAAAAATTATATGCAATGCTTAATATCACAAAACACAGATCAGGTACGAATTTTGGAGATGTCACTTTTACTGTTCTAGAGTTATAACCCTTTACAAATGGAAAAATTGCTGAATTTTTCAATTCCGTTCTCTAACTTAAGTTGGCGTCAAATTAATGTTATGAAACTTATACACAATGCTTATTACCACAAGACTCAGATCATGTACAACTTTGGATAGTGTCACTTTTACAGTTCTTGAGTTTTGTCCCTTTATAACGTTATATGCAAGGGGGGGGCATCATCTGTGTCCCTTGGACACGTTCCCCATTAATTTTTTTTTGCTTTAATCTCAATATTTTCTTTTGTCAGATTTTGAATTACTGTTCATTTTTAGTGCCAAGTAAGGATATTCCCATCTCTTATCCTTAGTTTTTGCAAAAACTCTGCGATGTTTGTATACATGTATATCCTTTTTTAGATGAGAAAATCCAGGCCTCAGAAAACCAAGAGATTGAAATTGACAAACCACATGAGGAAATCCGACAGGATCCTTACTCATTACCAGGAGGTTTCCAGTGGGATACTCTAGATCTCAACGATCCTTTAATTGTAAGATATGCCAGAGTACAAGGAAAATTAATACATTTATATAAATTTCATGTGTTACTGAGAGAAGTGTTTTTATGGCCCACAAAGTGGTTTTTGCCATATACAGGATCAATTTTTTTTTCACCACCTCGTTAGCCAGAACAATATATTTTTCGCCAACTTATATTAACATATTTTTTGTTAAAAATTTTCCTTCTTTCTAAGGAAAAAAAAAACAGTTTGCCACATTGTTATTTATTATAATTCTACATATCTATTTTTTAATCAACATTGTAATAAATAAACACTTCCAAATAATAATAAACATTTGCATTTTAATAGAAACTGTAAAATTGCAATATAGAAGTTTTTACTTCTGGGAATGTGGGATTCGTCTTCATTAAGTTTATGGGATACTTCCTGTCTTGTTGAAGGATCAAGACTAAAGTCAGAGATTTTTCTTACTTTTGAATATATCTTCATAACAGCAGTTTTCCTTTCCGGACCATTGTTGAAAGGGAAAGTTGGGACGTAAAACTATGCTTCAAACATGTGTGCTAAAACGATTGTAAAGTACCCACTTCAAAACAATTATTTCTGTCACAGTTGAAAGGATAAAGTTTAAAGGCAGAGATTTTTGTCGAGCCTGCGACTTCTGTCGGAGAAAGCTTGACATAGGGATATAGTGATCTGGAGGTGGCATTAACTAACTTCTTAAAAGCTTTATATTTTAGAAGGTGGAAGACCTGGATGCTTCATACTTTGTATCTAGATGCCTTATGTTATGAAGTGTCCGTCTGTCATATGTCCATGGTCATTGACATTATTTCATTTTTCAGTGACTACTTGAAAAAAAAGTTCAGATTTTTTGTAATGCTTATTTCTCTTTTATTATGAGTAATAGGATAACTCTATTTAGTATATGCTTACCTTGCAAGGTCCTCATGGCTGTCAGACAGTTTTCATCTAACCTCGACCTCATTTCATGGATCGCTGAACAAGGTTAAGTTTTTGTGGTCAAGTCCATATCATCTAAGATACTATAAGCAATAGCTCTACTATATTTGGTGTATAGAATGATTGTAAGGTGAACATGTCCAACTGGCAGTAGTCATCTGTCCTTGACCTCATTTTCATGGTTCAGTCGTTTAAGTTAAGTTTTTGTGTTATGGTCTTTTTTATGCCCCCACCATAGCGGAGGGGACATTAAGTTTTACCCTTGTCTGTTCGTACGTCCCAAAGTAGGTTTCCGTTCTATAACTTTAGTTTGCCTCAACCAAATGTTATGAAACTTATACACAATGCTTATTACCACAAAACACAGATCAAGTGTGAATTTTAGTGGTGTCACTTTAACTGTTCTAGAGTTATGTCCCTTTACAAATGGAAAAATTGCCAAATTTTTCGTTTCCGTTCTCTAACTTTAGTTTGCCTCAACCAAATGTTATGAAACTTATACACAATACTTTTTACCACAAAACTCAGATCAAGTACAAATTTGGGTAGTGTCACTTTTACCGTTCTTCAGTTATGTCCCTTTATAATTTTATATGATATGCAAGCAGGGGCATCACCTGTGTCCCATTCCCCATTTATTTCTAATACTATATGCAATAGGTCAACTATAGTTGGTGTATGGAAATATTTTACGATGTACATGTCAGTCTGGCAGATTTTATTTGACCTTGACCTCATTTTCACGGTTCATTGCTCAGTGTTAAGTTTTTGTGTTTTGGTCTGTTTTTCTTAGACTATAAGCAATAGGTCAACTGTTTTTAGTGTATGGAATGATTGTAAGATGTATATGTCTGTGTGGCAGGTATTATCTGACCTTGACCTCATTTTCATGGTTCATTGGTCAATGTTAACTTTTCATGGTTAAGTTTGTTTCTTAGCTACTGTAAGCTATAGGTCAACTATATTTTATGCATAGGTTGATTGTAAGATGTACATGTCTGTCTGGCATGGTTCATCTGATCTTGACCTCATTTTCATGGTTCATTGGTCAATGTTAAGTTTTTTCTTAGAAATTATCAGTAATATGTCAACTATATTTGGTGTATGGAATGATTGTAAGGTGTACATGTATTTCCGGTTTAGTTTATCTGACCTTGACCTCATTTTTTTGGATAATGTTAAGTTTATGTGATACTTGTGGTAAAGCTTATATTTAGGACTGTCAACATAAAATTAATGGTCAGTAAAGCAGGCGAGACATTTCAGCGTGTGCACTCTTGTTCTTATTTTTGAACAATTTTCATCTAAACAATAGTTTCTTTTCTAGGCCATCGTAAAAAAAAAAGAAAAGAGGAAACGTAAAACTATGCTTCAAACATGTGCATCATTTCTAGTAAAGTTGTAAATTAATCCTTTAGTTGACATACATGTGACGCTAATTTACCACACTATTTCACTAAACAATACAATCAACCCCTTTATTAATTGGTCCATTGTTACTGATAGCTATAAAATGCAATCAGCTGATGATTGATTTTTAATCAAAATCCTAACGAGTTCAAGGTGAATTCCCTGAATTGTCTGATCAGGGAAAAATTCTGAGTAACCTGAAAAAAGTAAACAAGATGGTCAAAGTCGAACTGTTATATTTCTTTCGCCAATAATAAATTTTAATCGCAACAATTTTTATTTTTTCGCAAAATATAACCCTGATATAGTTTTACCCTAATCGGTCATTCAGTCATTCGGGAACAACAGTTATAAAGACTTTTTTCTAAAGGCCTTCACATATTGAGCTGATTTTTAGTATTTGAGTCTACAATGATGAGTTACAGATCGAGTTTAGGTGTGGTTTTGTTTCACTGTCTTTTGCCGAAATTACGAGCTTTGGATTTTGAAAATTCGTGAAAATAACAGTTATACAGACTTTATTTCTAAATGCCTTCTAATGTTGAGCTGATTTTTAGTCCCCTACCGACGAAGTCAAAGGGGACTTTAGGTTTGCACTCCGTCTGTCTTTTTTTGTCATGCTTGAAGATATTTATTTTATAATTGGTATATAGTTTTATCATGACAAGTTACAGATTAAGTTTGAATTTTGTTCTGGTCTGATGATTTTGTGCAGAGTAATGGTCCTTGGACTTAGAAAATTCACTCAAATATTCAGTTTTCCGCACTCTTTTTTTTTGTCATGCTTTAAGATATTGATTTGATAAATGGTATGTAGTTTTATCATGACAAGTTACAGATCAAGTTTGAATTTTGTTCTGGTCTGATTATTTGTATGCAGAGTTATGGTCCTTGCACTTAGAAAATTCACTTAAATAATCAGTTTTCCACACTTTTTTTCATCATGCTTGAAGATATTGACTTAATATTTGTTATATAGTTTACACCATGACAAGTTACAGATCAAGTTAGCATTTTGTTCTAGTACAATGAATTTTTAACCGGTAGAGGACTATGTATTGCAATGCAATACTCTCAGAATGCTTGTTAGTTTGTGAGGCTACTATGATGAGTTACAGATTGAGTTTACATTTGGTTCTGCTCAACTGATTTGTGCCGAAATAACATGATTTGTGAAAACAACAGTTATATGGACTCTCGTTCTCAAATTTCCATTCCAAAAAATGTCTTCAAGAGGGGCCATTTGTGTCGTTCTGACACATCTAGTTTTAACTACTACACTACAATGTATATGCACTGCCTTATCGCATCTCCATATCCTGGCATTTTCAACTGGATTTCTGAAGGAAAATATCTGTTATTAGTTGGTGATGTACGCCGGCTGCCAAACAGTGTCTGTTCAATAACTTGAAAACGCTATGTTTCCTGTGACTAAATGAAGGTCAAGTTTGATTTTCACGATTTAGCTTTTATTGTTTTTGAGTTGTCCTTTAGGTAGCGAAAAGTGATACTTAGAATGTTGTCCATGCAATAACTTGGAAACGCTTAGACGAAATCTTTTTAAATTTAGATATGTTGTTTCCTGTGACTAAATGAAGGTCAAGTTTGATTTTCATGATTTTAGCTTTTATCGTTGTTGAGTTGTAGACCTTCAAATAGTGAAAAGTGATACATACAGCGTTGTCTGTGCAATAACTTGAAAATGCTTTGACGAAATCTTTTCAAATTTAGATAAATTGTTTCGTGTGATGAAGTGAAGGTCAAGTTCGATTTTTAAGATTTGAACTTTTATCGTTGTTATGTTGTAGACCTTTAAGAAACTAAAAGTGATACTAAGATTGATTTTGGCCTTTCCATTTCTGAACCCTACAAAAATTCATTTAGTTTTTATATGACCGCAAAGTCGTATATTGGTATGTCGTCGTCGTCAGCGTTGTCCGAAGACATTTGGTTTCTGGACAATAACTTTAGTAAATGTACATAGAAATCTATGAAATTTAAACACAAGTTTTATAACCACAAAAGGAAGGTTGGGATTGATTTTTGGGGGTTATAGTTCTAACAGTTTAGGAATTAGGGGCCAAAAAGGGGCCCAAATAAGCTTTTTTCTAGTTTCCAGTCAATATTTTGTGGAATGGTGTATGGATCTCTCTGAAATTATACCACAAGTTTCCATACCACAAAGGGATGGTTAGGATTGTCTTTGGGGGGTTATGGCTCAAACCGTTTAGGAATTAGGGGCAAAAAAAGGGGGAAAAAACAAGGGTTTCCTGGTTAATGGACAATTAAAAAAAAGTACAATGTTATGTTTGGATTACCTCCCTTACACTGCTTTTAAATTATGTATAAAGAAATGTTGTATTGTCTTGAGGTGATTAGCTGTCAATTTATTTTTAGAAGTTACTATTTAAAAATGCTGATTAAGGAATATTAATTTTAGCCATGATTATGTATGTCATTTTCTATTTTAAGACTTTTATGATGTATTTAAATGGGTAATTATGGTTGCAAACTCTATTGGAAATTTGAATTGAGATCATGACCATATCTTGAAGGAAAAATGGGGGTGGGGGGGTGGGGAGGGTGTCAAGTCCAAACAGCATAGTGTATTGCACAAATGCAAAAAAAAGGGGGGGGGGGGGGGGGGTAATTTTTGTCTTTTTTTTTTGGGGGGGGGGGGGGGGGTGTAAGTTCGCAACAGGCAACAGCATAGTGTATTGCACCAAAGCAAAACATTGAAATTACATAACCAATTCTAAGTTCTTTGACTACAGTTATTATGTGTCAGAAACCTATTATGTGTCAAATATTTAATTACAATCCAAATTCAGACCTATATCAATCGCGAATATTGTGTCCATTTTTGCCCCAACTGTTCAGGATTGGACCTCTGCGGTCATATTCAGCTGCGATAAGCGAAGCAATTTATTTTTTCTTGATCCTGTTTGGGGGTTCAGATTTGCAAATATCATTTTCATGCAGGAAATCTGGTTTGCTGTCAATCTGACAGTCTCTTGTATATAAATAATAAAGCTGTAAATCAAAATAACATTAAGATATCAAAACCGTATGTTGTTTTCAAAGTTTGTGAAAGTCGTTTTATAAATTTCATGTTTACATCCCTGCCTTTGAAAGGATTACCTAAAATGCATGTATACAAATTAAAAGCCACTAAAACAAACCAGTTTAAAAGAAAAATGTTTGTAAAATCATATCTTTTTGCTTAAAATACATGAATTATTTTGCTGCAATTCGTCACCTTATTGCTCTTCTGATTTTGTGACCATATATACAGTATATCAATAAAATTAGATAACAATCACAATATAGACATAGAATTGAGAGCCATTCTAAATAAAAATCTTTTTTTAGATTTTGACAGTTTATACAGCATGTGCAGTACATCAATAAAATTAGATAACAATCACGATATAGACATAGAATTGAGAGCCATTCTGTATAAGATTATGTGCGACTGGTACACTCAGAGCAAGTAATTAATTCATTGTTATTTGCTTAACGTCCAGTGGCAAATATTTCATGCATGTTCAGGACGGCTCAAAGCAAGTGAAAAATATATGAAAGTGAGAGAAGATAAACTAAGGTTAGAATGTACTTTGTGACAAAGGATATACTAACACAGATTGTAGAAGAATTTTATTTTGTGTGAAAAATTCAAATTTTGTTTTACACTTTGATTGATCCTTATGATTGATGATAATACATACATAATACTTCTTTGAGTTTCCAGTATATTTAGAGAGAGGAAATGAATATACATACCTTGAAATATTGACGTCCTCCCTGCATATGCTCTAAAGCGGTTTCATTATTTAAATTATATGACCTTGGTATCTGTGAATTATTTTTGGTGATCACATTTAAATGGATAATTTCTGATTGTTTTTAACAGTTAAAAGAGCTGTACACATTACTGAATGAAAATTATGTAGAAGATGACGACAACATGTTTAGATTTGATTACTCACCAGAATTCTTACAATGGTAAGTAGATATATCATGTAAGTTTTAATTAGTTAATTATATAAAAATTCTTACAACTGAAAGCAGGGATAACATGCTATGGTTTGATGACTTTCCGGAATTCTTACAGTGGTAAATAGTAAAAAACATGTTTGTTGTTATAAGAACAAACTTGTTAGGTTTGATTACACAAGAATTCCTACAACAGTCAGCAGGGATTACATGCTGAGGTTTGATTACACAAGAATTCCTACAACAGTCAGCAGGGATTACATGCTAAGGTTTGATTGCACAAGAATTCCTACAACAGTCAGCAGGGATTACATGTTAAGGTTTGATTACACAAGAATTCCTACAACAGTCAGCAGGGATTACATGCTAAGGTTTGATTGCACAAGAATTCCTACAACAGTCAGCAGGGATTACATGCTAAGGTTTGATTACACAAGAATTCCTACAACAGTCAGCAGGGATTACATGTTAAGGTTTGTTTACACAAGAATTCCTACAACAGTCAGCAGGGATTACATGCTAAGGTTTGACTACACAAGAATTCCTACAACAGTCAGCAATTCCTACAACAGTCAGCAGGGATTACATGATAAGGTTTGATTACACAATAATTCCTACAACAGTCAGCAGGGATTACATGTTAAGGTTTGATTACACAAGAATTCCTACAACAGTCAGCAATTCCTACAACAGTCAGCAGGGATTACATGATAAGGTTTGATTACACAAGAATTCCAACAACAGTCAGCAGGGATTACATGTTAAGGTTTGATTACACGAGAATTCCTACAACAGTCAGCAGGGATTACTTGTTAAAGTTTGATTACACAAGAATTCCTACAACAGTCAGCAGGGATTACATGATAAGGTTTGATTACACAAGAATTCCTACAACAGTCAGCAGGGATTACATGCTAAGGTTTGACTACACAAGAATTCCTACAACAGTCAGCAATTCCTACAACAGTCAGCAGGGATTACATGATAAGGTTTGATTACACAATAATTCCTACAACAGTCAGCAGGGATTATATGCTAAGGTTTGATTTCACAAGAATTCCTACAACAGTCAGCAATTCCTACAACAGTCATCAGGGATTACATGATAAGGTTTGATTACACAAGAATTCCTACAATAGTCAGCAGGGATTACATGTTAAGGTTTGATTACACGAGAATTCCTACAACAGTCAGCAGGGATTACATGTTAAAGTTTGATTACACAAGAATTCCTACAACAGTCAGCAGGGATTACATGCTAAGGTTTGACTACACAAGAATTCCTACAACAGTCAGCAATTCCTACAACAGTCAGCAGGGATTACATGTTAAGGTTTGATTACACAAGAATTCCTACAACAGTCAGCAGGGATTACATGCTAAGGTTTGATTACTCACCAGAATACACAAATAATATATTATTTCTTACGAAGCAAGAATCTTGCAATCTGATTGGTTAAATATCCTTGTGTAAATAACGCCCCACCCCAGTTTGCCTAGGGGTAACATTTTGTCATAATTTCCCCTTAAAAAAATATTTTGCTAGAATTATAAAAAAAGATGTTATGTCTACCTTATTAAAGAGGGCATTTTAAAAACTGATTGTTTTCATGTTACAGGGCATTACAGCCACCTGGTTGGAGAAAAGATTGGCATTGTGGTGTACGAGCTATGAAGAGTGCAAAACTTGTAGGATTTATCAGTGCTGTTCCAGCAAATATTAAAATATATGAAAGGTAAATGCATTTGAAATAAAGAATTTTTATCCATGAAATTTTAAGTCAGATATTGGTGTAAAGGGAAGTTAGACATATTTGACTAGTTTAGAGACTTTTAGACTAAAGATACACAATACTTGGTTAAGATGTTTACAAAACCTAATATGCACGTCATGTTTGATGATAAAATAAGTACTTTTTAGATTAGTGTGTTGAACAAAATCATTCCAGACCATAAACCATATGCCTCTCTGTGTCATACTGATAGTTTCAGGAAAACTGAAGTTAGAAAAATTATTACATTTGCCTAAATCTACTTATTAGATTTGAGATCTTTTTTCGAAATATTTGTCAAATATTTGAATTAAAACCACAGAATATCATCATTAATCATTGAAATACATTCCTACATCTTGACATCTTGTTTATATTTTTAGAACAAAACATTTAGTAGAAATCAATTTTTTGTGTGTTCACAAGAAGTTACGATCAAAAAGAGTGGCGCCAGTGTTGATTAGAGAGATTACAAGACGTGTACATACACATGGGTTATTTCAAGCTGTTTACACAGCTGGTGTAGTATTACCAAAACCTGTGGCATGTTGTAGGTCAGTACAATTCTATTTTTACTTTTTCAACATGCACTTCAGTATTTGATTAAACACGATAAACACATGATGTTTATGTTATAACCTTTGACTAATTATAAAAAAAAGATTGGAAAGAAGATAAACATTCTGATACTCCGCTTCATCTTCTACATAGATATAAGAAGATGTGGTATGAGTGCCAATGAGACAACTCTCCATCCAAGTCAAAATTTAAAAACGTAAACCATTATAGGTCAAAGTACGGTCTTCAACACGGAGCCTTGGCTCACACCGAACAGTAAGCTATAAAGGGCCCCAAAAATTACTAGTGTAAAACCATACAAACGGGAAAACCAACGGTCTAATCTATATGAAAAACGAGAAACACTTATGAACCACATCAACAAACGACAACTACTGAAAATCACATGACTACAAACACGAAATAAAGACAAGTCATTGTTAGGTTACCTTAAGAATATAATATATTATTGAAATGATATTTACAGAATGAAATTTTTCGTAAGTGTTTTGATGTTTATCAGGTGACTTAACATTCTTTTTTTATTTTTCAGATATTGGCATAGATCATTAAATCCTAGGAAATTAATTGAAGTCAAATTTTCACATTTAAGTAGGAATATGACAATGCAAAGAACATTAAAGCTTTACAAGTTACCTGATGTAAGTTAATTAAAGCTTTACAAGTTACCTGATGTAAGTTAATTAAAGCTTTACAAGGTACCTGATGTAAGTTAATTAAAGCTTTACAAGTTACCTGATGTAAGTTGATTAAACATTTACAAGTTAAGGTGTTAGTTTTTAAAGCTTTACAAGTTACCTGTAAGTTAATTAAAGCTTTACAAGTAACCTGTAAGTTAATTAAAGCTTTACAAGTTACCTGATGTAAGTTAATTAAAGCTCACAAGTTACCTGTAAGTTAATTAAAGCTTTACAAGTTACCTGATGTAAGTTAATTAAAGCTTCACAAGTTACCTGTAAGTTAATTAAAGCTTTACAAGTTACCTGATGTAAGTTAATTAAAGCTTTACATGTTACCTGATGTAAGTTAATTAAAGCTTTACAAGTTACCTGATGTAAGTTAATTAAAGCTTTACAAGTTAAGGTGTTAGTTTTTAAAGCATTACAAGTTACCTGTGGGTTAAATAAAGCTTTACAAGTTACCTGTAAGTTAATTAAAGCTTTACAAGTTACTTGATGTAAGTTAATTAAAGCTTTACAAGTTACTTGATGTAAGTTAATTAAAGCTTTACAAGTTACCTGTAAGTTAATTAAAGCTTAACAAGTTACCTTATGTAAGTTATTTACCATAAGAGATTGGTTTCCAATATATATTGTGTCACTTGACAAAGCAAGCCACACTTAGGGATAACTATTTGTTGTCCCTGAGTCATACATAGCATTGTCTGTGTCATTGTTGTCTGAGTCACACTTAATGGTTATCTACAACTTGTTGAAATATAACTTTATATAGAATTGGAAAAACTTGCACATATTCTACCACAGGACATGAAGTTGTGCACCAGGTTTTTTTTCAATTTCTTTTTTTTTGTGGGGATTTCCAATATCAAAACATGAACCTAGCAATTTCTGCTGATATTATCTGAAGACTGTAAGCGACACACTTCTTCAATAGGCAATTATTAATTTTAATTGATGAGATTTTCAGATTTCTCTTTTTTTCAATTTTGACCCTAGTGAAACTCAGAAAACTATCGAAAAACCCTAAAAAATTTAGAACACAATGCTGTTTATCTAATATAATGGCAGTAATGATGCCACATGTCTATTTAAACATACCTCTTTCATTCCAATCAGCTGATAAAGGCAACTACCACTTTAGCCAGATCTAATTCTTAGTTTTGTCCAATTTTAAAATGCAGGGAATTATTTTTTTGAAAAATTCTGTAAAGAACTTGGTTAATTACTGTAGAACTAAGACTGAAAAGGGGTAACTGGGCTGCATAAGGCCATCATTGATATTGGGCATACATGTAGGTAAGACATACAGGGTCTTTAGTCTGTAGTTTACAAAGGTAAGTTGGTGAAAAATCCTGTTTGTAAAAGTAATTAAATAAATGAACAGGCATTGGAAACCAGACTAATTAGCCAATATTTTTCCACAAAAAGAATGAAATGAAACACTGTTAGACAAAACATTTTGTGAATATTATCTTGAAAAGATATCCCTCTTCAAGATTATTAAATTAAGTAATTAATGTTTGTAAAAAAGAGATTGATGATATCCAAATATAAAATAAAAATTTGTTGTGACAAGATATTCAATAGTGTTTTTGTAAACATAATCACAGTTGTTTGGCTTTGGGATACATATTTGAATTAAACTTTTTATCTTTCAGGCACCCAAAACTCCAGGTTTTAGGAAGTTCACACCTACAGATGTTCCGGAAGCTTATAAATGTTTGAAAAAAGTAAGTAATAATAGAAGTTTTGTATGTAATGTTTATTTGACAGTTTTGTTTAATCATTTAAAGCATCCTTTTTAGCTTAAATTTGTATGACATAGAAAAGTGTAGCCTATTTAAAAAATATGAAATTATGGCAGTGGACTTAAATAAACTAACATGTGGTAGGGTTGATTTTATGATATTTCAACCCCCTCCCTTTTAATGTTAAACAGTGTAAACAAAACAAGGAACATACAATAAAGATAAATTTAGAAGCATTTAACTCAAATACTAGTATAAAGACAACAAAACACACTGGTACAAACAAAACAATTCTAAACTATATAGTGAAATATAGAGTGCTTGTAGATACTTACAGCAAACTACTTAACCTACTGATATGCACTCATGCTGTCCTACACACAAGTATAGGCAGCTGTTTGTAATGCTATACAATGCATACATCCAGTCTTTTAAGCAGTGATATATTTTCCTACTGGTTGCATATCAATTTCCTGTCTATAGAGTGCTCACATTACTGAAATCAAGCTCAAAGTACTCAGCCTGCAATGAAATCATGCCATCTTATTATCTGATGTCGGCAGCTTTTGGCCTTTGTTAGTCTTGTATGTTTTTTATTTTAGTTCATTTATATGATTTGGAGTTTGGTGTGACGTCCATTTTCATTGAACTAGTACACATTTTTGTTTAGTGGCCAGCTGAAGCCCGTCTCCGGATGCAGGATTTTCTCGCTGTGTTGAAGACCCATTGGTGGCCTTCGGCTGTTTTCTGTTCTTTGGTCAGGTTGTTGTCTCTTTGACACATTCCCCATTTCCATTCTCAATTTTACTTCAGAGTAAATGATTCATACTTTCACACTTATTCCCTGTTTTTTACCCAAATTAGTAAAAGTTTTGACTAATTTATGATACCTTATAGTTGTAAAAAAAATATTATTCCTGAAAATAGTACTTTCGTTGGAAATCTGAAACACCATGTAAACACTGTTTAACACACACAAGCATAAACTAGAAATTGTTGTTTTTTATTAGATTGTTTTGTCTATGTATAAAGACCTAAACATGATATGGAAAAGACTTCATAAGTCTGTTTGACTTGTGTCTTATCCAATTTGTGTTTATGCAAATAAAATATGTTTAAACTAAACCCTAATCATGAAATATTTACTACAAGTTATATTGATATACAATATAATTTCTTTTGCAGTATTTACTGAAGTTTGATTTGGCACCTTTATTTACAGAAGAAGAATTTAGACATTGGTTTATACCACGACCTGGAATAATTGATTCTTTTGTAGTTGAGGTAATAAAGAAGATTTTAGCCGTTGATCTAAACCAAGACATTTAATAAGTATTGTTTGTTTGCATTATCCCACAGCCTGATATTTTTAATTTGAAACTGTTGTATTTGCAGCATCTTTCTATTTGTTTATGTAAACAATTAGCAAAATCATGTACTTTGCCATTTCTTCTTAAATTGAAGCAAATATTTTCTACTTGAATTTCTCAACTCTTAACACCAACCAATGGACTTCACTGGATCTTTTTTTTTATTATTATTATATACATCAAACGCTATTATGCTAACATCCTCTTTCTATTGCATTTTAGCTCAACTGGTCCTATGGGCAATGTGAGATATTGCCATCAATTGGCGTCCTTTGTGGTAAACTTTTAATGAAATCTTCTACTCCGAAACTGGATTCATTTCAACCAAATATGTCTTGAATGATCCTAAGAGATAATAGGCAAAACACAAACAATTTTCAAAAATGTTTATTTTAGGACAATAACTTTAATAAGGAGTAGTCTGATGGCTTAGGTTAATATAAAGCATTTTAACTGGGTTTTCTGACGGAAAAATTAATATTATTAAAATGGGGAGGTATGTTGGGCAGCTGCCAAAACTTCCTTGCAATTACGTATTAACCCTTTAACCAATGCTTTTCAAATTTTGATATATTGTTACTTAACAAAAATGAAAGTCAAGATTAATATTGATGAATTTCACTTTTTGTCGAGCCTGCAAAAAGTGAGACATAGCGATCCTAGATTCTGTCGGCGACGGCGTCAACATTTAGGTTCAGTCCTGTGGTGAAAGTTTTTTTAGACATCTATAACTTTGTCAATCCTAAATGGAGTTTTTATGAAGTTTGGACAGAATCTTGTTTATGACCAGAAGACTATCCAGAACAAAATTTTTAAAATATTTATTTTAATTTTTCCGTATTTTACTGATAAATGAACTTAGTTTTTTTTACAATTAACAAGTAGATACAGTCTAGAGTTCAATTACTTTGTCAAACCTTCATAGAGTTTTATGAAACTTTGGCAGAGGCTTTTTAATGATTAAGAGATAATGTCTGAAGCAAACATTTGAAAATATATTTTTTTGATAGATTGACTTAGTTTTTTACAGTTAACATTTACAGACAGTCTGCGATTAAATTTTTTTCATATGATAAATTTGTAAACCTTCATTGGATTGTTATGAAACTTGGACAGAAGCTAATCTTAAAGACCAAAAAATAGCATCTAAAGAAAACATTTGAATTTAAAAAAAATTCTGTATTTTACTGATAAATGGACTCACTTTTTTAATAGATATAAGAAGATGTGGTATGAGTGCCAATGAGACAACTCTCCATCTAAGTCAAAATTTATAAAAGTAAACCATTATAGGTCAAAGTACGGTCTTCAACACGGAGCCTTGGCTCACACTAAACAGCAAGCTATAAAGGGCCCCAAAAATGACTACTGTAAAACCATTCAAACGGGAAAACCAACGGTCTAATCTATATAAAAAACAAGAAACGCGAAACATTTATGGATCACATCAACAAACGACAACTACTGAACATCAGATTCCTGACTTAGGACAGGTGCAAACAATTGCAGCGGGTTTAAACGTTTTTAAGTCAACATTACACTTTTACACTGACAGCAGCAATCGCAGGCGAGACACAGGGTTCCACGGAACCCCTTACAATATTTATTATTCAGAAGTTATGGTCCTTGAAAATGGCACTTTATGTTGTTTCTGTGCAATAACTTGTAAACTACTCAACAGATGCTTTTCCAATTCTATTACACGGTTACAGATGACATAATGGAGGTCAAGTTTGATAGTGATGATTTTCACTTTTGTTGTTCTGGAGTTATGGTCCTAGATAAATGGAAAATGGTGCTTTGATGAATTTGACAAGGTCAAAAAAGCTCAAAATGTTTAGATATACCTTTTTCTTATTACCATTTTTATACGACCGCAAAAATTAAAAATTTTTTGGTCGTATATTGGTATGACGTTGGCGTCGGCGTCGTCGTCGTCGTCGTTGTCGTCGTCGTCGTCGTCGTCGTCGTCGTCGTCCGCCGTCGTCCGAAGACACATTGGTTTTCGCACTCTAACTTTAGTTTAAGTGAATGGATCTCCATGAAATTTCACCATAAGGTTCAATACCACAAAAGGAAGGTTGGGATTGATTTTGGGGGTTATGGTACCAACAGTTAAGGAATTAGGGGCCAAAAAGGGGCCAAAAATAAGCATTTTTGTAACTTTCAGACAATAACTTGTGTGTAAGTGTATGGATCTCTCTGACATTGTACCACAAGGTTCCATATCACAAAGGGAAGGCTGTAATTGATTTTGGGGGTAATTGCCTCAAAATTTTAGGAATTAGGGGCCAAAAAAGGGGCAAAAAACAAGCATTTTTCTAGTTTCATGACAATAACTTGTGTGTAAGTGTTTGGATATTTCTGAAATTGTACTACAAGGTTCCATATCACAAAGGGAAAGCTGGAATTGAGTTTGGGGGTAATTACCTCAAAATTTTAGGAATTGGGGGCCAAAAAGGGGCCAAAAATAAGCATTTTTCTAGTTTCCAGACAATAACTTGTGTTCAAGTGTATGGATCTCTCTGAAATTGTACTGCAAGGTACCATACCACAAAGGGAAGGCTGGGATTGAGTTTGGGGGTGATGAATCATAAGGGGGTTCAAAAAATTGGGGGGGGATTTTTTTTTTTTTTTTTTTTCTTTTTTTCCTTTTTTTTTTCTTTTAAAATTTTCCATTTTAAGTTGGTTATTTCTGATTTATATTTAAAAGCAAATGATAATGATATGGTAGGAGATACACACCAAACAGGATGTGTAAATTATTATATAATAAGTATTGTGCAATAGCAAGAAATTTTCAATTGCACAGTATTGCACAATAGCAAGAAATCTTCAATTGCACAGTATTGCGCAATAGCAAGAAATCTTCAATTTAACAGTATTGCGCAATAGCAAGAAATATCCAATAGCACAATATTGCGCAATAGCAAGAAATTGTCAATTGTACAGTATTGCGCAATAGCAAGAAATATTCAATTGCACAGTATTGTGCAAAAGCAATAAATCTTCAATTTAACAGTATTGCGCAATAGCAAGAAATATCCAATAGCACAATATTGCGCAATAGCAAGAAATTGTCAATTGTACAGTATTGCGCAATAGCAAGAAATATTCAATTGCACAGTATTGTGCAAAAGAAGATACTTCGTATAAATTGCTTATTTCTTGATCAATTTCAATGGGGTTTTATTCTTGAATTCTTGGGGTTCTTTAATATGCTGAATCTAACCGTGTATTAAGTTTTTGGATTTTGGGCCCCGTTTTTAAATTGGTCCACATTGAGGTCCAAAGGGTCCAAAATTAAACTTTGTTTGATTTCATCAAAAATTAAATTATTGGGGTTCTTTGATATGCCGAATCTAACCGTGTATTTAGATTTTTAATTTTGGGTCCCGTTTTTTAAATTTGTCTACATTAAGGTCCAAAGGGTCCAAAATTAAACTTAGTTTGATTTTAACAAAAATTGAATTCTTAGGGTTCTTTGATATGCTGAATCTAAACATGTGTTTAGATTTTTGATTATGGGCCCAGTTTTCAAGTTGGTCCAAGTTGGGGTCCAAAATTAAACTTTGTTTGATTTCAACAAAAATTGAATATATGGGGTTCTTTGATATGCTGAATCTAAACATGTATTTAGATTTTAGATTTTTGGCCCAGTTTTCAAGTTGGTCCAAATTGGGGTCCAAAATTAAACTTTGTTTGATTTCAACAAAAATTGAATATATGGGGTTCTTTGATATGCTGAATCTTACCATGTATTTAGATTTTTTATTTGTGGGCCCGCTATCAAATTGGTTCATATTGAGGTCAAAAGGGTCCAAAATTAAACTTTGTTTGATTTCATCAAAAATTGAATTATTGGGGTTCTTTGATATGCCAAATCTAACTGTGTTTTTAGATTTTTAATTTAGGTACCCGTTTTTTAAATTTGTCTACATTAAGGTCCAAAGGGTCCAAAATTAAACTTAGTTTGATTTTAACAAAAATTGAATTCTTCGGGTACTTTGATATGCTGAATCTAAACATGTGTTTAGATTTTTGATTATGGGACCAGTTTTCAAGTTTGTCCAAGTTGGGGTCCAAAATTAAACTTTGTTTGATTTCAACAAAAATTGAATATATGGGGTTCTTTGATATGCTGAATCTAACCATGTATTTTGATTTTGGACATTGGACCATAATAGGTAAATTAAAAAAATTGAAGTTCTTAGACCACATTCTTTCTGTGTCAGAAACCTATGCTGTGTCAAATATTTAATCACAATCCAAATTCAGAGCTGTATCAAGCTTGAATGTTGTGTCCATACTTGCCCCAACTGTTCAGGGTTCGACCTCTGCGGTCGTATCAAGCTGCGCCCAGCGAAGCATTTTATTAATGAATTGCAATCTAACAGTAAAGTCACAGTAATTTCTTATCTGCATGTCATAACTTGCTGGTTTGAAGTTATTAAGTACCAAGCTGCATGAAGGTTAGACATACTCTGTATTTCTACCTGTTGCACATCAGTTCCATGTTTTAAAGATACATATATTTTCTTTTATTGTAATAAACATACAGAAAGTTTTGCTGTACTTTTTCGTCTGAAGTGCAAGCTAGTATACATTTCATTGCAGTAGGTGACAATAACTCTTGCAATGGTCATGATTGTCAATGTTTACATGATTTGCTAGGGAGACTACATATATTACTAATGAAATACTGAATCCAGTGTTGTTTTTCCAATGAATTGATGATAGTATGTTGTTAATTTTGATGTTTTTACTTTCAGAGAAATGGGGAGGTGACAGACTTTGTTAGTTTTTATACTCTACCGTCTACTGTAGTCCACCATCCTGTTCATAAGACGTTGAAAGCTGCCTACTCATTTTATAATGTCAGTGGTAAGACACCATGGTATGACCTGATGCAGGACGCTCTTATAATAGCTAAGACAGTAAGTTTGTTTCAAGACGTGGCAGTAGTAAAAAATCTGTACAGTCTAATCTTTCTTACAGATCACCTTGATTCAGCGATTGTCTGCTTCTAATGGTCACTTTCAGACCCACTTAAATGTTATCTCTATATAAACACGTTTTCATCTGTCAATATTCACTACATTTTTGCAAGGATCATTATTTTAGCTATTATCAATGGTCATTTTAAATTAACTACCATGTAAAATAGATTTGTTCAGTACCCAAAGTCAAAATGAGAATCAAAATCCATTTGTAACTGGTATCACTGATAGAAGGTGAATTAATGAATTCCTCGAGTTCCACTCCTTTCAGTTTCATATGAAAACCGTATCACCAACTTATTTTTCCATGAATATGAAGATATTTTGAATGTTTTTATTCAAATTTACATGCTTGAATCCACCATTTTTTTTATCGATATCTAATAAAATTCCTGAAACCTTGGTATTTGGCACAGAATGACATGAAAAGATATTATTTATATAAAACTTCAAAATTATCACTGATATTTGTCACTGGATGTTAAGCAATCAATCAATCAAATAATCAGTGCATATTTATTGTAATTTTGATCTTGCATCTCAATACTGTATATATAAGATATTTTATTCTTACACAATTGCATACTACTAGTTTTCTAAGATGGCTTACTAATTGGATTATGACTCGGCTTTCCTTAATATAATACTGTTTCTATTTTAGATGGGGTTTGATGTTTTTAATGCCTTAGATTTAATGGATAACAAACAGTTTTTAGAGAAGTTAAAGTTTGGAATCGGAGATGGAAACTTACAATACTATTTATATAACTGGAAATGTCCTCAGATGAATCCAGAAAAGGTGAGATTTTTTAGTCATTTGTTGACCCTGTCCATAGTACAGTATTTATAGATATAAGAAGATGTGGTATGAGTGCCAATGAGACAACTCTCCATCCAAGTCAAAATTTAAAAAAGTAAACCATTATAGGTCAAAGTACGGTCTTCAACACGGAGCCTTGGCTCAAACCGAACAGTAAACTATAAAGGGCCCCAAAAATTACTAGTGTAAAACCATTGAAACGGGAAAACTTTAATCTATTTAGAATATTGCAGTAATGAATATTAGATAAGTTATGTTTATTTTTTTATTGTCTCGACACATTTCCGATAAGTCAGAAATGTCAATTAAAAGAATTGTTTGGTTTTTTTTCAAATGAAATAACCTCGTTTACTTAATCAAATTTGTTAAGGGTTCCTTTAAACCTTGTAAAAATGGCAATGGTTAGCGGGTAAAAAAACTGAATGAAATGACTTAATCTTGTTTTTCATTGTAGATTGGTCTAGTTCTTCATTAACATTAACCAGAAGAACTCATATGTCCTGTGATTTAGAACTTTAAAACATGAACTCCTGAAGTAGATCTGATTTACTTGCAGAATCAAACCAGTTGTGCATTTCATTGCTTCAAAATACATGTGAAAGAAAAGGTGAAAGAGGAGATACGAAAAATGTGTTGTGTTTGTTTTTATTCTGATATTAAAATGTTAGTTACTATTGAAATTGTGTGAAGAAGTAAAGGTGATCATGTTTGAATAAGAGTTGTTCACAAGTGATTACTTGCTTTATTACTGATGTTAGAAACAGTCAAGTGTATTGCTGAGAAGAAAGGGAAAGTTATTGAATAGATTAATGAAGTCTCCTGTTACATCTTTTACATTGAATGGATTAATGAAGTCTCCCCTTATATCTTTTATATTGAATAATTACTGAAAGATTACTAAGATATGTCATGGTTGTACAAGATTGATAATTGTTTAGGAAATATTGTTTTGTATGTATTAAGCATTACAAATCATGTCACCAATCACTTGCAAGCATTATAGAACTAGTGATACATATAGTAATAAATTTGTCTTGTGTCTCATATATCAGATGTAAATGGTTTTATTTAAAACTTCACAAACTCTAATTATGAAAGCATTTGTCATTTTTATGTGCCATGATGTATAGTATGGAGAATACTAAAATGTATTAAACTCCTAAGCTACCATTCACTGTGTTCAAATAATGAGAATTTGATAAAAGACCAATTACTGTGGGTTCATTATTATTCGTTGGATACACAATTTTCGTGGATTTCAAGGGTACAGGGAAACCACGAATTTAAATGTTCAATAACAAAGTAACATATTTGTTATATGATTGTATGCAGAAAACTGCAAAAGCAAACATCCACGAAAATGCAAGTTTTCCTCAATCCAGGTACAGACGAAAATAAAAAAAACCCACAGTACTGTAAATTCAGAAATTATTGTGAGGGTTTTATTAAAGGAATAAGGCAACTGAATAAGTATTGCAACAATAAGAACTCACATTTAGAATTTGATACATATATCTTTATGTAGATTTTCCTGAAATCGCAATAATTAATTTCGCATTGTTGTCCATTCTTCAGAAATGCACGCAATAATTTCTGAATTTACAGTATTACATTGGCATTTTGACATTTTGGAAACAGTTCCTGTTTATTTGCCAAGGTTACTAAGTTTAATACAGTATTACTATGGTCACTCTTTACATGTGAGATCAGCAATTCTTTGACCTTTACAATGTGAGATCAGTTATTCTTTGACCTTAACATGTGAGATCAGTAATTCTTTGCCCTTTACATGTGAGATCAGTAATTCTTTGACCTTGACATTTGAGATCAGTATTTCTTTGACCTTTACTTCATGTACATTGAGGTGAGGATTACTTTGAACTGTACATGTGAGGTCAGGATTTCTTTGATCTTTACAAAGAGGTCAGGATTACTTCAACCTTTACATGTGAGAGTTTTAGCAAGCTCATGTTGTTAATCTTATTCTCATTATTTTAAAATCCTCTGGACATTTTAGATTGATAGCATTAGAAAATTTTGTCCAGTAGCCTAACTTTTTTCCCATAATTTCATTAAATACATTGCAGCAAAATCTAGTTAATTTCTTGTTATATCTGAAAAAATTTAAAGTGAAAAAATGTCTTTAAAAAATAAATAACAAATTAGAAATGTTTCCCACCAAATTTTTCTCAAAAACAAGTCCATAGACGTATTTTTTCCAGTAAACTTATTTCTTAGGCAAATATCTTTCAGTATGTAACAACAATTTTGGAACCTTGTTCTTTTAAAAAGTGGTCTGCAAACTTCCTTGATCATAGATTTAGTTAAGGAAGGCAAATAATTTCCAAATGAACCACCAATAGTATCGAATGATTGACATCTGTAATGTTCATTTAATGGAAGTAATGCTCATGATGCTTGTATGGTGTGTTAGCTCATTTACACTCATTTTCAGTGATATCAGTCATGTGCCAAGACATAAAAACCAAATGTTGTGCATTTTTTTATTCCTGCATGGCTTAGGTGTGCATTTTGATTTTTGAATGTTTTTAAATTAAGTTTGATATGTTTAAATTTCTTGTTTTTCTCTTATTTTCAATTAAAATCAGGATTTTTAACATGGATTTACTGATAATTAGTTTTCTTAAGGGCATATTATTTGACAATGAAAATAATAATAAAATTTCCAATGTATCAAAAAATATATTTTGTTTAATAAGAAATTTGTATTCCACAAAGTAAATGAGTAAATCTTTCAGTACAACTTGTAGTAACATATTCTTTTGTTTGTTTTGTATTGTTTTATCTTTGAATGTTAGTGACAGTGAAAGACAGTTAAAACTGATATTACTTTCGCTTTTACTTTGTTATGTGAGTTTTATATATACTATAATTTATTTCTATCATTTCTAGAATGTTTTTGAAAGTCTCCTAATGTCAAGTTTGCATAATAGATCGAAAGCATAGCTAACAAACAATAACTCATAGATCAAGTATTGATTTCATTACTAAAACATTTTTAATAATAACAAGGGGTTGGTCTGGCCTGAGGAAATACTTGGCCAACAAAATCACCAATTATTAAAAATTTAGAGCCAAAATCTCCTTTTTTTCGCTGACAGAATGATAAATATAAAATTAAAAGACAATTATAATTTCAACACCCAAGGAAATGATCAGATATAAACCTGCTGTCACTATGTGCAATGTTGAGAGCATTTGATGTAACTGTGTTTGACTTGTACTTCTAAGAGAATTAATTATGATGTCATTAGCAATGCAGAATGTGTTTGATTGAGTTTCTATAACCTAAAAAAAAAACTTATATTGGCAATGTTTTGTAGTACCTGAGAGACCATTCTTAAAATGGAAGAGAGAGAGCACAACATTTTATATTATTCTGTACTTTTGTAGATAGCTCATGTCATTTTATTTATTGATTTAAAGAGCATCAAATTTATCATGTCAAACTGCAAAATAAATAATTATTTATATTTACTGATTTCTTTTTATGTTCCTATACTTGACAGATGTCTATCAAGTGTTCCATTTGACCTTGAGTAAATAAAGTCAGTGAATATCAATTTTAGCCACTTATGGTCGAGATATTTTAAATGAATTTGTGGCCCTTGGACATAGAAAATTGTTTGAAAATATCAGTTTTCTCTTCTTTCTTTTATAATGCCTGAATCAATTGACTGGGTATTTAGCATATAGATACGAAGGTTGTAAAGTTACGAAGGTTGTATAGTTATGAAGGTTGTATAGTTATGAAGGTTGTAAAGTTATGAAGGTTGTAAAGTTACGTAGGTTGTTAAGTTACGTAGGTTGTAAAGTTATGAAGGTTTTAAAGTTACGAAGGTTGTAAAGTAACGTAGGTTATAAAGTTACGAAGGTTGTTAAGTGACCCTTACAGTAGTTGTTTTCATCCCCACCCATTGGTCTCTGGTGGACATTTCTCTCAATTGCAATCATACCACATCATTTTATTTTTAGCTCACCTGGCCGAAGGGCCAAGTGAGCTTTTCTCATCACTTGGCGTCCGTCGTCGTCGTTGTTAACTTTTTACATTTTGAACTTCTTCTAGAGAACCACTGAATGGAATGAAACCAAACATGGCATGAATGTTCCTTATGAGGTACTGACCAAGTGTTGTTACTTTGAAGCCGATCCATCATCCAAAATGGCCACCAGCGGGGGACTTAGTTTAACATAGGACCCTATGGGAAATACATACAAATGTCTTCTTTTAGGGAACCACTGAATGGAATGAAACCAAACATGACATGAATGTTCCTTATGAGGTGCTGACCAAGTGTTGTTACTTTGCAGTTGATCCATCATCCAAGATGGCCGCCTGCGGGGGACTTAGTTTAACATAGGACCCTATGGGAAATACATACAAATGTCTTCTTTTAGAGAACCACTGAATAGAATAAAACCAAACATGGCATGAATGTTTCTTATGAGGTGCTGACCAAGTGTTGTTACTTTGAAGCTGATCCATAATCCAAGATGGCCGCCTGCGGGGGACTTAGTTTAACATAGGACCCTATGGGAAATATTTACAAATGTCTTCCTTTAGACAACCACTGAATGGAATGAAACCAAACATGGCATGAATGTTCCTTAGGAAGTGCTGACCAAGTGTTGTTACTTTGAAGCCGATCCATCATCCAAGATGGCCGCCAGCAGGAGACTTAGTTTAACATAGGACCCTATGGGAAATACATACAAATGTCTTCTTTTAGAGAACCACTGAATGGAATGAAACCAAACATGACATGAATCTTCCTTATGAGGTGTTGACCAAGTGTTGTTACTTTGAAGCCGATCAATCTTCCAAGATGGCCGCCAGCGGGGGACTTAGTTTAACATAGGACCCTATGGGAAATACATACAAATGTGTTCTTTTAAAGAACCATTGAATGGAATGAAACCAAACATGGCATGAATGTTCCTTTTGAGCTGCTGACCAAGTGTTGTTACTTTAAAGCTGATCCATCATCCAAGATGGCTGCCAGCGGGGGACTTAGTTTAACATAGGACCCTATGGGAAATACATACGAATGTCTTCTTTTAGAGAATCACTGAATGGAATGAAACCAAACATGGCATGAATGTTTCTTATGAAGTGCTGACCAAGTGTTGTTACTTTGAAGCCGATCCATCATCCAAGATGGCCACCAGCTGGGGACAGTGTTTAACAAAGGACCCTATGGACAATAAATACAAATGTCTTCTTTTAGAGAACCACTGAATGGATTGAAACCAAACATGGCATGAATGTTCCTTATGAGGTGCTGACTAAGTGTTGTTACTTTGAAGCTGATCCTTCATCCACGATGGCCGCCTGCGGGGGACTTCCTTTACCATAAGACCCTATTGGAAAGACATACATATTCTTTCATTTTAAAATGCTTCTTCTAGAGGTGCGCTGAATGGAATGAAACCAAACATGGCATAAATGTTTCTTATGAGGTGCTGATGAAGTGTTGTTACTTTGAAGCTGATTTACTGTTCAAGATGGCCATCAGGATTTTTTATTAAATTACAGGGCCAGTATTAAACCAAATTTGGCCTCACTCATTATTAGGGTATCTGTTATGATTTTAATCTATTTTAACATGATTTCCAAAACCAAAGTAGAATCAGGTGAGCGACACAGGCTCTTGAGAGCCTCTAGTTATTTATCAGAAGAAATTAGAAGTTTCACTTCATTTCGGTTCAGTGATTTTTGTAGAATGAAAAAAAAAGTATATATTGGCAATCTAGGTCCTAGTTCATAGAAAATTGCTTGATTGAATATTGGTTGAGCTTATTTTGTGGAAGTTGTGGCCATTTAACATGGTTAATTGATGGAAAATAGTTGCACTTTTTATCTGTAATGCCTGAATGTATTGATTTGATTTTTAGTCCCCTCCTGTAAATTGTAAATTCACCAGACCTTAACTATAAATGCTAGTCCAATATAAGAGTAAACTAATCCAGTGTTTCAGACGATAGGGGACATTGTATCGCAAATGCAATACCCTACTGATGCTTGTTTATTTTTTTATGCCCCCGCCGTAGTGGAGGGGGCATAAAGTTTTACCCTTATCCGTCTGTACGTCCCAAAATTGGTTTCCGTTCTCTAACTTTAGTTTGCCTCAACCAAATGAAACTTATACACAATGCTAATTACTACAAAACACAGATCAAGTTTTAATTTTGGTGGCGTCACTTTTACCGTTCTAGAGTTGTGCCCCTTTACAAATGGAAAAATTGCTGAATTTTTCGTTTCCGTTCTCTTACCTAAGTTTACCTGAACTAAATGTTATGAAACTTATAAACAATGCTTATTACCACAAAACTCAGATCAAGTACAAATTTGGGTAGCGTCACTTTTACAGTTCTTGAGTTATGTTCCTTTATAACGTTATATGCAATGGACCCATGGACACATTCCCCATTTTTAGTCCCCTACTGACAAAGTCGAAGGGGACTTTAGGTTTGCACTACGTCTGTCTGTCTGTCTGTCTGTCCATCCATCAGTCCGGCAAATCAGTTTTCCACACTTTTTCCTCTGCTTGAAGATATTGATTTGATATTTGGTGTACTGTTTTATCATGACAAGTTTCAGATCAAGTTCGAATCTTGTTCCGGTCTGACCTATTTGTGTAGACTTATGGTCCTTGAACGTAGAAAATTCACTCAAATAATCAGTTTTCAGCTCTTTTTTATGCCCCCGCAGTAGCAGAGGGGCCATTAAGTTTTACCCTTGTCCTTCTGTACGTCCATCCGTACGTCCCAAAGTTGTTTTCCGTTCTCTAACTTTAGAGTGCCTCAACCAAATGTTATGAAATTTGTATACAATGCTTATTACCACAAAATACAGATCAAGTTTGAATTTTGGTGGCGTCACTTTAACCGTTTTAGAGTTATGCCCCTTTACAAATGGAAATATGCTGAATTTTTCTTTGGCGTTCTCTAACTTAAGTTTGCCTCTACCAAATGCTATGAAACTTATACACAATGCTTATTACCACAAAATACAGATCAAGTTTGAATTTTGGAGGTGTCACTTTTATTGTTCTAGAGTTATGCCCCTTTACAAATGGAAAAATTGCTAAATTTTTTGTTTCCGTTCTCTAACTTTAGTTTGCCTCAAACAAATGCTATAAATTTTTTTTGTCATGCTTGAAGATATTGATTTGATGATTGGTATATAGTTTTATCATGACAAGTTACAAATCAAGTTCGAATTTTGTTCCGGTCTAATGATCATGGCAGAGTTATGGTCCTTGGACTTGGAAAATTCACTCAAATAATCAATTTTCTCATTTTTTTTCGTCATGCTTGAAGATATTGACTAATATTTGTTATATAGTTTACACCATGACAAGTTATAGATCAAGTTAGCATTTTGTTCCAGTACAATGAATTTTCAACCGGTAGGGGACTATGTATTGCCAGGCAATACTCACAGAATGCTTGTTTTTATTTATTGTTCATAGTTTACTTAACATCTTGTGTTAAATATTTAATGCATATTCATGAGAAATTCTCAAAACATGAAAAATAAAATGTGGATAGTGTCCACATGTGGACACAGATGATACCCCCGCTTGCATATCATATAGTTATAATGGAACATAACTGAAGAATGGTAAAAGTGACGCTACCCAAATTTGAACTTGATCTGAGTTTTGTGGAAATAAGCATTGTGTGTAAGGCTCATGACATTTGGTTTAGGCTAACTTAAGTAGAGAACAGAAACTAAAAATTCAGCAATTTTTCTATTTGTAAACACGCATTACTCTAGAACGGTTGTGTATAAGTTTTATAACATTTGGTTGAGGCTAACTTAAGTAGAGAACAGAAACTAAAAATTCAGCAATTTTTCTATTTGTAAACACGCATAACTCTAGAAGGGTTGTGTATAAGTTTTATAACATTTGGTTGAGACAAACTTAAGTTAGAGAACAGAAACGAAAAATTCAGAAATTTTTATGTTTATAAAGGGACATAACTCAAGAATGGTAAAAGTGTCGCCACCAAATTTCGTACTTAATCTGTATTATGTAGTAATAAGTATTGTGTCTAAGTTTCATAACATTTGGTTGAGGAAAACAAAAGTTAGAAAACGGAAACAAAAAATTTGTACTTGATCTTAGGTTTCATAATGTTTGGTTGGGGCAAACTTAAGCTACAGAATGGAAACTAAAAATTTTGCAATCTTTCGATTAATAAAGGGGCATAACTCAATAATGGTTAAAGTGACACTACCCAAATTCAACTTGATCTGTGTTTTATCAGTGGGAGTCAAAATTAAACATTGCATTGTATAAAGCATTGATTGTAGTTGATTCAACTTTAATCATGGACAAAGGAAGATAACTCCAATTTTAATAAAAAAAAAATTTCTTGATATTTTGAAGAAAATAAAAATTTTGCAATTTTTATACGTCCGCAAAAAAATTTTTGTGGTCGGATATTGGTATGACGTTGGCGT